AAAGCCCCACGTTTGATTGTAAAGTTCGGAGATACAGGCACCTTTATATTTGTAAGCGTGATGCTATATGAGAAGTGGTCTTTGTTTAATGTAAAGCAGTATGACTATAATAGAGCAAAAGATGCAGAGGGCGTGTTTGTGTAACTTGAGTCATTCAGCACAGGCGATGCATGATTCTTGTACACTATTTAGGAATAGTTTAAAATGCCAGCTAATAACCTTAGTCCTCCCATCCTCCATTGTTGTCCAACCCAATGCATACGAACGATTGTCCTGCTCCAGCCCAGCATGCCCATCATTTAACTTTCATGATTCGAGCTAACCTGGTAGTAAGGTAATGGCTGTTGTTGGATCATCATTATCATGTAAAGTGTAAAATGGCAAACACCCTTTTGCTGTACGTGAGGATCATCATTTCTTTTATTTACGTGTACCTATTATCTATCGTGATGGTGATGATGGTGATGGGTGAGCTGTGTGTTTGGGTGGATGGTGTGTATAGGGTAATTGAGTGGCCTCAGTGTAATAGCAGTAGGGGATTTAAACTTGGGGACGGTAGCTCCACGACTTGAGACAACGCTTCTCTTCTCTTTCTCACTCCTCTGCTTTTACCCCATTCACGACATTCCAATCAAGGTAATGTGTTATCAAAGAGTGCTCTTGTTGACTGTGAGGTATTAATAATGTAGTTCTGGACATGCATTGTCAGGGAGTGAGTGTGTTCAAGTGCTGAGGAATGGAGCGTGGTGGGTGGTTGGTGGTTGCCATGGCGATATCGTTGCTTCCTCTTGTTCGTTGCTATTCCCGCTCTACGCTTGGTGTCAACAGGTACATTCAGAGTCCAATGTTGCAGCCGAATTGGTTCCATTGACGCGTCAGCTTGTACAGAGAGCAAGTTTGGTTTCAAGACGTTGGCTGGTTTGGCGTTTAGTTTCGGCTCAACTATACTACACCATGGTTTTCGGTTTCCAGTAACCAACAACAACGGGTCTTTGTGTATATGGGAAAGGCAAGTACAATGCAACACACAATGAAAAGGGTGATTATTGTATATGAGTGCTCATAATGAATTGAATTGGGTTCTTTGGTCAGACAATGCAACTTGGGACATCATCATCATCATCTCTTTGGGTTCAAGTCCCAGCCTGTATCAAGTGGCCGCTGCGTCGCTCTACACTAGCCAAGTGTGCTGGAAAAGCTACTTGGAATGCCGCCCAGGGCTCTATAGGCCTGCGTTCAGTTGATGGGTCGATGACGATGGGTTTTTGGAAGAGCATGGTCACCGTGTTGAGGTAAAAGGGGATTTGCAACAGCTTGTGAATGTGTTTAACCAACACTCTCTTCTCGTGCCAGGCTCGTTCTTTCCCTTGAGGATTTCTTTTCATGAGGTGGGAAATGATTGGAAGGATTGGGGATCATTCTTTCTTTGGAGAGGATGAATGAGGACAACTATGGGCCTGAACTCTACGTAAGTGAATCCTTCCTTGCCATGGATCGAACTGGCCTTGCGTGATTTGTGCAGTGCTTTCTCAAGAACAAGGGATCTCGTATGGTGGTGACTTGGTTTGTGAATTCCTTCTGATTTGCTTTCTTCCTTTGGGAGGATCGCCTAGCGGTACACCAAATCATCATCATTCCAGTATCAGATGGTCTAACTTGGCTGCTTTCTTATTTATAAAGACGACCATTACGATGATTACCACATTCACAGCAATGACAATGATAACGATAACGAGATTCAAAAGGAAACCTGCAAGGCGCCGATCCCATTCTTTTCTACTTACGTGTTTTGGATATTGGTGACGAGCAGATTGACGACTGTAGACAAGCACGAGTATGGGTACGAATGATGACGGAGGACGACTACGACAATGGTTGTGGCAATGTAGCAAGATAGCTAGATGAAATAAAGCATTGTTGATTTATTACACGCTAGCTTGTGGATTACATCGTACTATTGCTTCGAAGATGGAATAATAAAGGTGGTCCGGTTATCGGTTATGCAAGAAATATACGGCTTTTGTGATACAATAAGGAGGAGCAGGATGACATTGAGAAGAGAAATAGTGAAGTGATCCCTCCATTGAGTCTCAGAATGAGTGATCCATTATTAACATGTATACGTATAGTTTTACATACACAAGTTGCATGCACAAGTGTTATCTTCCTAAAAGTGCTGTTGCCCATTTACTTTATTGCCTCGTTGGCTATCTAACGTCACCTTCGGGATCATATAAAAGTAAGTTACCCATAGGAAAGGATAATTCGATCGTCTCAATATATGAAAGAAGCAACAAAAAGAATCCATCATCATGCAAAATTTAAATCACGTGACCCACGAAAAATCCAAAAACAAAAAGATGATTGCAGCTTTTGAAGCTGTTACCAGGCGATCCGAGCTGCCAGATTCGAACTAGCGACCTAAAGATGGCAGTACACTACAGTCTTCCGCTCTACCAACTGAGCTAAGCTCGGATTTGCTGTTGTTGATTTTTGGAGCAGAAGGTACTATATAAAGGACAAAATTTCCTAATGTGGATTGCAAAAAAAGTCGTCGTATCGATACCGTTCGAGTACCATGGTGTAGCGGAGCATTGTAGGAATGCAATGGTGTAATGTGCATCGGGGTATGGCTGTTCAATGGTATGTAATTTGGAAAAGAAGAGCTATCATTCAAATTTTTCGAAGAGCGACATGTATCCCATTCTCCGAACATGCCCCTTGACCAGGGCATTTTGACACTTGTCATAGGTGACTCCTCGTAAGTAAAAAGAGCCAAATCGTGTTTTGGAAAGCTCTTTATAGACTGTAGGAAACTTTTAGTCAGCGACTTTATTGTTGAGCCTTGTCGACGTGGCATTGCCATGGTTGATGGTCAATGGCTCATTGCATTCCTGTTGTGCTTAAAGCAAGGCGCTATCTAGATTTTATATATACACGGTTGCTCGACTGCTATTCTAAGTTTCTTTGACATCTCCTAGCAACGCATACCTTGGCTCATCATAATCCACATGTATCCAAGCGCTCATGAAAAAATAAAATGTTTAGTACATTGAACATTTCGTCCTATTATATGGTAGATGAACAGGCTAAATGGGGTTGTTGAGAATGAGAACGCAGCGGGAGAAGGGTTGAGAGGTGTAACAAAAGGTTTGAAACAGGGGGAGTAAAAAAAGAGAGAGAATGCTATGAATGCTTGGCGTACAGTTGGTATTTTCCTCGTGACATTTGTATAAAGGGCAACTTGGTTTTGGAGCCATCTGTCCGCTGGATGTGTGCCTGTTACATGTTTCTTAAGCTGATGGCCCGATTTCCCCATCCTCGTATCATCATCATTGGCATACCTCTGTATCCGTTGCCGTTAACAATTTGGCACTATATCGCCCTGCGTTTGCATCCACCACAGTGAATTGATCCCCTTTACGGAAAACCTTTCCATGGTAATGTAGATGTCCTTGATAGGCGTATATAGGGCTTACATTCGTCCCGAGCGGTGTGTCCAGCACTTTAGATTTTAATGTGTCGCGAGTCATGTTGAATGTTGATGATTTTTTCTCTTGGTTGGTTGAAGTCGCTGATGCCAGAATGTAACATTTAGACGCATGTACATCCATCCAAGATGAGATATTGTTACTTACTGGCAGGTATAATCTATTGTGTATGGTGTGAGATACAACGTAACACCAAGGATCCATCCAAACTATAGCTTACCCCAAGAGCTACCAGGTCATCCTCAACCGAATCCTTTGCAAGCCCCTCTGCTTTGGGTGCCATTGGAAAGCCGATAGAGTGCGTGATCCGATGTAAATCCCTTGTTTCTTCGCTTTGTCCACGTTTACGATGTACAAGTACGTTTGCATCAGGAACGCGATCAGCATCTATCTCTGCCGTAAGCCATTTGAATTCGATATACATTGCTGCTCTCTCCTTACCTGTGAGCGGTTCATTGAGCTTATCCCTCTCAGTATCAAGATCCCATCGTTTCCGATTCAACGTATCCAAGATGCTCCTCCGTAAACCATTCTTTCCACACTAAAACAAAAAGACGAATGTGAGCCATGATGCCTTGCACATGCCATGCCTAAACATGCGTCACTTACCACAAAGTCAATATTAGCTTGGTATTCCAATCCTTCAAATTGCCGTTGATAGCTAACACGCTTGTATTTCCTCCACGCATCAGCAGTCTGTATCCTTTGATTCTTTTTCTTCTCAATGGTCTCCATCATAGCCATTAACTCAGGGTGTGTTCCTGCAGCAAGCTGTCAGCTGAGAATAAAAATAAGACGCATGCTGCTGCAAGTTACCTTGTGCAATCATAAGAGCTTCTTCATTCAATTCGGACATTTTCTCTTGATACATTCTGGTAAAAAGGTGTATGTGAGTGCCCATTCCTTCTCTTGCCGATACCTGATAATAAACGTACTTGTCTCTTAGTCGAGCAAACTCAACTTCAATCTTGGTTAATGCATCCAAAGCTTCCTTGTGCCATTGCTGGTATTCTTGATCACAGCCATCTTCCTCTGCAAAGAAAAGGATTGTAAGTAAAAAAAACGATGACCAGCACAATAAATTCACACGCTTACCTTCATCTTTCTCTGGTTTGTCCTCTTGTTCCTGATTTGGCTCTTCTTTTGGTTCAGCTTCGCTAGAAGATGGCAATTGAGAACCTTCCGGCACATGATCGGAACCATTTTGTTGCTCTTTGAGTTCCATGATCTTGCTAGACCTCCTTTGTTGCCATTCCTCATCTTCCAAGGTTTGAGATCCACGCCGTTTCCTTGACGATGGTGTCATTGGTGATTGTGGTGTAGGTGATGTGTCATTGTCATTATCGGATATCTTGGTTTGTTGCTGGTTTTCATTCTTATCTCCTGGCAACATTGATGCTGGTGATGGCGGGGTTGAATTAGAGGAGGATGGTTCTGCTGCTGCTGCTGCCGTTGTTGTTGATGATGATGATGTAGTGGCTGCTGCTGCTGCTGCTGCGGATGATTCTTCGACAGGGCTCATTGTACTCTTTGTTTGTGCCTTTTCACCATCACCATCTTCATCCTTGATATGTATATCCTCTTGTGACTCATTGACAATGCCATTGGCTTGTTGTTGTTGTTGTTTTTCCTCTTTTGCAACTGTGGTATCTAACTCGCCCTTTTGTTGTTGCTCATTCTCGTCCTCCTCGTCCTCTTCTTCTTCTTTGGATTCATGCTCTTGTTCAGGATCAGGTGATAAAGGTGCATTATCACCCGTCAACGACAATGAAGATAATAGCGGCTCTTCTTCGTCATCCTCATCATCACGATCATCCATGTCCATGGGGGCGTTGCTTAGCGTATCGGAACTGTCTTCGAATAATCCATCATCAAAAACAGCATTATCGTCTCCCGTGGTTACGGTTGTCACTGCTGCTTGACGATCATGTGAGGGTGATAGTGGTGGTCGTGGTGGTGGTTGCGCTACTGGAAGCTGGTCATTGTCATCCTCGTCCATGACAATCTTTTCCGTTGGAGTGAGAGATCCTTCGCCGTCGTCCAATGCAAAGTCATCGTCTGGTCCTTCGTTCATTCCAGTATTGCCATCGTCATCACTGAGTTCAGAGGGAGAGGAGCCGAGCGATAGTCGAGAGGAACCAGGTCGAGTGGATGCATCGTCTTCAACACCATCGCTTGAATTCACTGACGAAATGCCTTCCATAGTTGCTGTTGGAATCCGCTTCAAGGAGTCTGTGTTTATGTTCTTGTTCTTGCTTGGTAATGAGCCAATCGTTCAATCGGTCACCCAAAGTCTGCCAGGGAATGGAAAAACGGTTGTGCAAAGGGAAATGAGGCGTGTGCTGTTGCTAGACGCGATAAGAGTGGTATGCACGGAGCAAACGGAGAGCTGGTTGCCAACGTGAAAGAAAAGTAAACACTTTTGTGAGAGGAATAGTTGGCAGGGCGGAAGAGTTTTATAACAAGAGAGATATAAAAAAAAGAGAGAAAAAGAGAGAGCAGCAGACTCACACACTCACCACCACACACACAACCACGCACACTCTGCTATCGGCGCCTCACCCATTCGTCGTCGGTGTCTTCTCCCAGAACACTTCAACCAGATCCGGATATCCAAGCCACTGTCATTATGCTAGTACTCCTCCTCCTCCAACACAAATCATTTATCATTGATGACCCTCTCCTTGACACATGACAACATTTCCATGTTTTCCATATATGCATCTCCCTTTTTTTCCATCAACCGTATCGATGTTACTTAGCTGTTGCGTGGCAACCCGGTAGTAAAGCAACCATTTTTCCATAATCCGTCAAAGTTGAATAGCAATGATCGACAAAAGTGCGAGGGTATATTCATGTCTAAACTTATATACAAAATCAAATGAAAAGCTAGATACGTTGTTGGATGACCAAACCAAGGAACTATAATAAAAGAATTAGTCAATTGCACTTTTCTTCCACAACACCCCTTTACATACCTGCTCATATGCGATTTGAATAACTCCATCACCATCCGTATCAAAGCGTTGGAATGCCATTGTCAGTGATCGGATAGTAGCACATACTTGGACAAAGTTGTCAAAAGTAATGTTTCCACGTCCTATGTTGTTGTGATCTTTCCATGAGAAAACCTTATTTCGGCGCATGTGTGTGTACGACTCGGCACAACACCACCACCATTCCCTTCCCACATACCATATCGATCAAACTTTTGAATTAGGATATTAACGAATGGTTCCGAAAGGTTGTATCCGAATGTTTGTAATGCATGTCTCAGCTCGCGAGCATCAATGTTACCAGATCCATCTGTGTCGAATGTGCGGAAGCAACGTTGCCAATCTTCGATGTATCTCCAAAGCCCCGTGAATTCGTTAAAATCAATGGTTCCCGTGTTATCAGTATCAAACATGACCACCATCATGCGGACAGTCTCAATGTTGAAGGGTGTCCAGTCACCATTAATAAGTGCACGCTGCAGCTCGTCAACGGTAAGGTAGCCAGAGTTATCCGTATCAACGATTTGGAACCAATACCATAGCTGGGGATCAGCTCCGGGAGGTGGTGGGCGCACTTTTGTAAAAAAAATGATCCAACCGATTAGCCGATTTGTGTGTTTAATATACCGAGGAACAATAGAAACTTACTGCTTGGTCGTTGCATTGGTGGATAACCACCAGGTGGTGGTGCCTGAGCAGTAGCAGGCGACTGAGGAGGATAACCTCCTTGAGGAGGAGGATAAGAAGGAGGATATTGGGATTGAGGATAAGGACTTTGTTGGTAGTTGTAAGCCATGAGTTAAGAAAAAGAGGAGAAAGAAGAAAGTGAAAAGCGAAAAAAAATACGCTTGCCATATTTGAAGGAACTAAGCATCTGCTGAGCAATCATTTTGTGCTTGGCAGTCAACAGGCTTTTTGGTTGCTGCGGCGGCGGCAAGGTTATCTTGCTTTCCAAAATGTGCAATCTCTCACTTTTCGTATGTCGTCATCAGAGCCCCAATTAGTCATTTTGCTCCTTTGCTTAACCAATCCGTGCACAATGCGCCGCATGCTCTTGTCTCACCGAAATCATGCTTCTTTTCTCTTTGCTCATTTTAGTACATTACTTTGCGGGGTTCTGTTGATTCGTTGCTCTACAAGACGCATGCATCGCACTTGTGGCAACAAGTAGTAAGGATCATCGGGGTCTCTTGTGTCACCTGCAAAGTATATTAAGATCTTTTCGGAATGCATATTGCGTAAGACACGCACACAGTGCTCACTTGCAAGACATGCTCAATGGCATTGTTGTAGCAAGGTATAGTACCTTAAATACCTTTTGGCGCATATACATGAATGCAATGGCATGAGGAGTGATCATGTTTCAATATCCGATATCCACATTTAGTCGACTGTCAATTCCCATCTTGGATCTACAGGCATGGCTTGATCGTCAAAAAAGTGCGTTATCCAAAATTAGATCATAGGCTGCTAGCTTGTCAATCATGCAAGCTCGCTCTCATCCCATGCACTCATTTACAACAATAGCTCGAGGGATTTCTTGAAGCTACTGAAACAGGCCATATGTGATCTAGCAAAGTGTCATTGATCCGCACCATATTGTTGTGGATCATGATAAGACAGCAGGAAAGGTTTCACGCTCAACATCCCTTTTATCAATCACTCCCCAAGCCTATGCTGGATTATCCAAACTATAATGGTGAAAGCAGCACACAGTGCAATGATCAGATGGAGAGCTTTCTTGAAACAGGTATCGCGTGAAAAGCTAATAACAACAATAGTCGGCATATACTTAAGATGTGTTGATCCAAGAAAGTCTTGGCCACGTTATGGCTCGATCGCTAACGCAACCCTGTCAAGGTGGATTATAGGTAATGCAAGGATCAAAAAATCCAGCCGTGTGGGTCGAGTATCGGGTGACCATCATTTACTGCATGTAAGACGAGTATTGCCTGATGCAGCACAAATACAAGCAAAGTAGCTAAACATGCACGCACGATATCCATAAGCATAATTGGCTTTGGTTCAAAGTTTACCAAGCAAACAATCATTGACCCGGGTTTTGCATCACGCACTACTACGCTCATTCCTTTGCTAGGGGACAACGATTATCCAGTGAAGTATAAGCCCGAAGCGATTATGCTTTAAGAGGAGTATCATATTTGCCCACACTGCCACATTTACGCGGGCATAAGTGTTACACTAGATGTCGCGTTTTTCATACTTGCAGTAGCAAAATAACCGGAGCATGCAGATATACGTGCATCATTGTATACGAGCAACTCTAATTGAGTATATCTTGAAGGTCATGCGTGCTTGTGTGGTAATTTCAATGGATAAAAATGGTGCCAAGGTGAGAAAAGGGAAAAGTTTTTCCTTGTAATTTGCAGCTAGTGGCGGCATGACCTTGAAAGTAGCGTGTTAGTCTCATCGTATGTCGTACACACACACACATGCAAACAACAAATAGAAGGTGGACAACGTTTCTAGCCAACTTGGAGAGTCGAAGCTGTTATCGCGTTTTGTTATCAGGGCTATTGATAACATCATATGCTTCATGAGCCGAGAAGGTGTCATCAACGTTATCTTGGGTTGCACACGGCCACACTAGGATAAAGCATGTCAATCTCTTTGAATCACGGGATCATCTTTTATGGTTTTGCATTATGCTCAAATAATCGTGTGAAGAATAACGATATCACTAATCACGAGGAATCATGCATTAGGATCGCGTGTGAACTTGGCTAGCAATTGGGACATCCATTCGCCTATAAATTGATGGGACATTCTTGTCACAGCAAACAGCATAAACAAACACGTCTTCTTTTTCTTTACTTCAATCCATGACTTACCAAATCCCTATCATTGACTTTAAGGACTTTGAGACTCGCTCTGCCGAGATTGCCAAGGAGGTGTTCGAAGCATGCACAACCATTGGCTTCTTTTATGTTGCCAATCATGGCATCCCACAAGAGATGATAGATGGCGCTTTTGCATTGGTGAGTGTATCGGGTATATACATTTATGAATACACGCTAATGATTCGTATGGTGATGATAGTCCAAGCAGTATTATGATTTGCCATTCGAGGTCAAGGACCAACAAGCCATCAAGGACAATCGTGGATACACGGGGCTCTACGTACAAAGGTATGATGATGATGCGTATGGTATCCATTTTCAACATTTGCTCATTGCAACGTATCCATAGGCTCGATCCTGATCGTCAAAGACAAGGTGACCACAAAGAGTAAGGCATCCTTGTACTAACTGCATCATCAATGATACGCTGCTAATTGCTACTACTCCGATTTTAGAGCTTTCAACTTTGGTGCCTTTCGCAATGGTGATTATGCCTGGCCACTTCCTGAAATCTTTAAGCAGAACAAAGACCAATTGGAAGGGTTCTCACGTGTAAGTATTAGAGGGTTGCTGATAAATGATATGACTAATGTCCTGTATTTAGCGCTGTCATGCATCTGCCATGAACATTATGGAGGCTATGGCTATTGCTCTCGAGGTAAGAATTAGCCAACTGACAACACACCAGCATGTGCTAACACGTGTATCATAACCTAGATCCCCGAAAAGGATGGAGGAAAAAACTGGTTTACTAGAGCCCATGTTTATGATTCGCCCAATTCGGCTGGCACACTACGCTTTCTAAAGTACCCTCATGGAGCAGAGTCGACATACAAGGAGCCAGGTCAACACACATGGAGCACCATGCATCCATCATGATCAATGAACAAAGCACTCATTTCCCGTTTTTTATTATTATAGTGAGAGCTGGAGCACATACGGATTATGGAACCATTACGTTGTTATTCCAAAAGGACATTGGTGGCCTTGAGGTGCAAGCAAGTCGCACCGAATGGATCTCAGCTCCTATCATTGAAGGCACCATCCTTGGTAATAATGCTTTCTTTTTCTTTATCTTGTCACCATCATGATCACTTACATTGGACCTTGATAATAGTGAATGTGGGCGGTATGTTCGAATATTGGACAAATGGGCTTTTCAAATCTACCATGCATCGTGTTGTTTTCAGACCTGAGCACCAAGAATATGACCGATACTCCATTGCCTTTTTCTGTCAAGCGGATGGCAACTTTTCACTTGATCCAATTCCTAGCAAAGTTATCCCAGAAGAACGTCCTGCTTCTGGTGAGATCCCTGCCGACAAGGTGGATAAAATCACAACAGCTAGAGATTATTTGGATATGCGTTTGCAGGCTGCCTATGCTGCACGTCCCCAAGCTGTTTGAAACAATAAAGGAGCTTTAATTTTGTTTATCAAATCCTGCTTTTATGAAGCATCATGTACGATTGATATTGTAAACGCGACATTTACATAGGGTACACAGCTTAGGTTCATCGGCGAATGGCTGCATGCATCAAGAGACGTAGATGTTGTGTATCTCTCTCATCATCCGATCAGCGTCTCCATGCGCATTGTGCATCCCATGCAGCCTGTAGTTTCTAAATCGAGCACGTACAAATAAAGGTATTTCGGTCTTTAAAGACAATAGGACAAAGGAGTCGATGTTGGGTGGACAAAGAAATGCATAGGGCCCAACAACAGACATCCCTTGAAAACATTCATCAAGCGATTCCCTTACAAGAATGATGCAAATACAAGGTTGTGTGATCTACAATTTTGTGGCTGTGGGCTGTTTGGTCGTGTTAGTGAATATGTAGTGACGATGTCATAGTAGGTAGCACTAGTAGTCGATCCAATGCACAATGTGTAGGGGAGAGAAGTAGTATTTTACGTGGTGAAACTCATTAAACGCGCGCAATTAAAGTGCAAGCGGGGCACAATGGATTTTCTTTGTATCCGGATACCCCTGAAGAGCACCAGTTGGTGCAGCTGCATTAACAAAGTAAGGCACAGCAGAGCATCGGGATACCAACAAGACACCCTTGGACAGCAAGTTGATTATGTGACACAAGGGCTTTTAAAAATGGAAGGGGGCAGTCAATAACAGCAATCTGACATGGAAGAAAGAGCGATGATGATATGGGGATGTGGCATAATTTCAAAAAGACGACGTATAAATGAAACAAGTGGATGATTAGATGCTGCAGATGCTGCACTCCTTTGTCCCTTGAATCATCTACAGCTCTGTTAGAGAGCGTATGTATATGTGTGTATGGCATGCTTCAATGTTGTGAGTAGTACACAGTATAGTTTGTCAATTTTGCCTTGGGTGGGTTGCACACGCACAGAAGCACATGGTGCTTCTACCACTATCCAGCTTTCTCCTCTCCCCCCCCCACTAAAACCACCCATCTGTTTCAAACAAGCATAGATCGACCAGATCGACATGGTACGGCTCATCTTTTAATAAATAGCAATATTCGCGTAAAAACACCTACTTTCTCATTTACACATCATCTATCTAATCAACTAGACCCCCCAGTTTGCCAGGGCATCGCCGACATCTTAAGGTCATACAAGAGCGTTTGATCGAGGCAATCCCAAAAAAAGCTTTTTCTTTCTCTCTTCTTCACCTTTTACCACCACATCGTCTTGTGCTTGTCACCGGCAAACCGTGCCAATAATCCATAACGAAGCTCCACGGTCTATACAACAAGTTCTTGCACATCCTCGCTTCCCACTCTGCAAACGACACTTTTGCCACTAATCATCACGGCATGTCTGCTTCAGTTGCTGGGTCGAGTACCCCATCGCCTTTGAGAGATTGGTTGCTGCCAATGCCACAGGATATTGGGATCGACGATTCGTTTTCAAACGACCTTATTCGACAATTCGACAAGAAACGATCGCGATTACGCGTAGAAATGATGCAACAGGTAAAAGGAACAAGAGAAGAAAAAAGAGAGAGAGGGAAGGCTGGTTGGGAATAAGCGATACAGGGCGTGGATGGGGGCTATAAATGGTAATTTGACAAGGTGCACATGGCTGACATGTTCTTATAGTCCGGCACTGCTGGTCCTGCTGCTTTTCCACCACCACCATTGACCGATTCAGAAGACAACGATTCCATATCAACATCGTCACCACAGCAACCATCACCACAGCAACAACAAAGACAAGGTGATTATCTTCAGCAACGTCGGCGTCAAGAACTCATCGATCAAGAAAAAGAGAAACGACGTCGTTCAGCAGGTGATTTATTACGACGATCATCAGCTTATTTGCGTGCCAAGATTGATGCTTTTCGAGGAAGTACTCGTTCGCATGATAATCTACGGGAAAGGTATTCATCGACAACAACAACACCGCCACCACCACCACCAGCGGCAGCCTCATCCTCCCCATCCAAGCTTGTTGTCAATACAACGATTGCTATTCCGCAATTCAATACTTCTACACAGCAAAGCCGGTTCTTGTCTCCTGCAGCAGCAGCTATTCAGCCACCTGTTATTACACAATATCCTCCAAAGCCTCTAAAGTATTCACCTATTGATCCACCTTCGGATGATACAAGCAGTAGCAGTCGTCATGGCAACAACAAACGCCATCATGGTATTATCCAGCATCGTATCTCGTTACCAGCGTTGCGTGTGGTGGGTAGAGCTTCAGGAGAACCTCGTAGGCGTTCTGATGTAGGTGTCGGTCGACAACAACAGAAAAAGACATCATCGTCGGGCGGTGGTCCAGGGGATAAGAAATTGCCATTTGGTGCTTTCAACAGGAAGGGGAAGGAGCGAGCAACGGCTTCTTCAGCGCCACCCACCTTGCTGAATAATGGTACCTGTGATCCGCAACAGCAACATGGCAACCCATAATTCTACATCCAAGTTCTCTTTCAGCATCACTACTATGTCATGAACGCACACGCACATTATCACATATTTATTCATCATCCACAACAACAACAACTCCCAACTACGTTATAGACTTAAATATTCCTTGATACCTTTTCTATGTCAGCACACTTGGACAAGTGTCCTAATTATGGTTTCCCCCCTCCCCTTATACCCCCTCTCTCCCTCCTAGATATGTTGATTGCTTATTGCAATACACAACCAACCACCACTTGCTACTTGTACTAAACACAGTAAACAATGCGTTTATATTTATACATGTATATGCAGCAGCCGAAAGCCATGACAACCTCTAATGTATAAACTCATCTATCCCAAAATTCAGCTCCTCAAAGTTGTTTTATGCAAGTACTATATATACACACACTCTAAGGATATCTAGATTATGATTCATCGAGCATGGAAGAAGGATCATGAAAGTCGTCAGGTACAATTTCAAAGTCTCTGCCAATCGATCTTTTGACGGTCTCCATATCTATCACACCAAAAGGTTAACTCAATGTATGCTTGCCTACCCCCCAACCACAAAAAAGAGCTGCGATGATGACTTACCCATTGGTAACCGCTTCCGATATAATACTTCCTTGATCCTTTCAGGATGCTTTTTCTCTTCTCGATTAAACTTGTTGCGCACTTGGTTGCGTGTCCGTCCAGGAAGTAAATGGGCCACCATAGTGAAATCAGTGCCAAATTGTGCAATGGCCTACAAGATACCATAAATACAAAGACATCATGCATGAATCAAGCACATCACACTTACGTTGTAAAAGTCCATTGTCTCATAAGGTGTCCACCGTGCTGTATGGCTCTTTTTACCCCAAGTTTGACTGTTGAGTTTGCGCGTCATGTTGGTTTCTTCGACGACTTCCATGGCACTGGTATCCACCACGGCGTGTTCATTGGCACGATCCACGACAAGCGAGTCTGTATCCAAAACAATTTGGCCATTGATCAACCGAACTTGAGGCGCATGCGACCTGTATATATACAAAAGTCAATGTCATCATGTCCCTTACAAGTACTACAAGATACTTACGATTCTTGAAGCACACTGCTACTCTCTTCCCTCCTTCGTTCTTGCTCACGTTGTCTCTCTTCCGCTTCTCGTTGTCGCCGTTCTTCATTTTCTCGTTTTGTCGCTTCAAGACGTGCACGTTCTTCGGGTGATAATGTGTCGGCTTGCTGAGCAAGTTTTTTGTTGGCGAGGCGTTCAATTTCCATCTCCTTGTAGATTTTGGATACGATACCAGTCTCCAAATCGTTGACGAAATCGGACATGCTTCGATCAAGAAAAGTGGGAGGTGCTGGATCATCGTTGATATCTTCAAGCGTCTTCCATTTGGTTGGATCCTTTAGCTCACGTTTCTTTTTCTTTTGGCGTCTCAGCTCCTTTCGAAGTTGTTCACCATATTCGCTGTCTTCGTATTCACTACCAAGTTCATCCTCTTCTTCTTCATCATCCTCATCCTCAGAATCCATAGAGTGTCGATGTCCATTGAGTCTCCTTTTGCTGCTGCTGCTAACACCAGGAACACCAATGGCAATCCCTTTTCCTTTGTTACGACCCGGCTCATCAATGGCGGTACTTTTGCTTCGTTTTGCTGTAGTAGTACGACGATGACGAATGGATGGACCAGGTGAAGGTTCTGGGGTGAGTTCAAGTTGATATTCCTCTTCTTCTTCTTCTCTTGGTGGTGGTGATGGTGATGGTGGAGGTATGTGTCGCTCATTTTCATTTACAAATGTGAGTTCATCAGGACGCTTTCTAGTGGATGGTGGTGCTCCTTTGAACTTTTTGCCTCGTCTTGCCACATTGCGTCTACCAGAGAATTTTGATGATGATGATGCCGATGATGATAATATAGATGGTGGTTGTTGTATTGATGGCTGTACTGATGGTAGTGAGGGTGGTGGTGATGGTGATGGTGATCGCTGTTCAGGTTTTAACGAGAATGATATCCTGCGTGTTTCATGATGCGTCTCACTTGTGTTACTGGAAACGGATGAACGACGAAAAGGACCCGGTGTACCAGGATAGAATGGTGAAGGTGTATCAACCACGGTCTGTGGTGTCATATCAAATGGTGTAGGCGTTTGCGCTGTACCAGACGGCGTGGCTACAGGTGTCTCATCGAATGGTGTAGGTGATGGTGCAGCCTCAGGTGTAGCAACAGCTATTGATGTTGCTGCTCGACTTGTATGATAATCATTATTGCTGCTGCTGCTGCTGCTGCTGGATGCAATAGTAGGTGGCAACGAAGAGCTACTGCCAGCACTGGATGAAATGGTAGGTGGTAAAGAGCTGCTGCTTTGAATGGTTGGTACTATCGCATGCCCCACTGATGGCCTTCGTGCAATGGACTCTTTTGGTGTTGTATCGGTCGACGATTCAGCTTGACTGCTTACATGGGTCGTTGGCGATTGATCCTTTGGCGACTGATCCTTCGGCGACTGATCCTGACTCTGTGTTGCTGATTTCCTAGGACGAGCTTTTGCTTTGGGTGTAAAGCGTGTACTGCCTTTCTCTGGAAGAAACAATAGACATGTGCGTTTAAGTATTTATTGATGGGATGTAATCGAACATATCTAGTTGGCCACTTACTGACACCAAGCGAAGTGAATGATGACATGTAATAGGAGAAAAGGGAAGAGAGGCGTATCGCGAATTATCTCACAGCCAACAACAGTTTTCAATTTTCACTCACAGGTAGGGTAGAGAGGCTACTTTTTCATCCTGACGTGTCATGTCTTACTCAATAACAATGTCCCTTCCTCCCAATCACAAAAGCAACATTATACAGAAACAAGTTTATAGGCTATCATCATTTACATTTATTTGCATCATTAAATCTACCATTGGGAAAGAAGCTACTCTTTTTACCTACAAAGAACTGTAAGAAAAGTTAGATTCTGGATATCATCATAACCTTTCACCCATCCCAAACTCAAGAGAAAGAAAGAGAGAGAGAGATAAAAAAAGCAACATCTTCAGAGATTGTTCACCTTGGAAAACCCACACCTTACGTGAAGGTGTTGAACATCGGAAATGTGATATAATTCGGGTCCAAAAAGTTGTGCATCATGTCGGTTGCATCTCACACACTCTCTCTCAACCACTTGAGCCATAGAAACCATCACTGTATTTACCTTGGAAATGAAACAAAACGAGCAAGTTGTGTAAGGAAGGAAAAAACCCACTGTTGTGCGAAGAAGGCTCCTCTTTATAACAAGAAAAAAACTTTTCATTCTCCCCCATACGCAGTCATCATCGTTTCTGGTTCCGCAGGAATAGCCGTTTCCTCTCGTTTGCTGCTGCAAGGATCTTGGATTTCGTAGCCTGCTTGTTCCTTTCTTTTTGCTTTTCATCCTCATCCGATTCAAGTTCGGATTCATCACTCGCCACGAGCTCATCATGTTTTCGTTTGTCACCAGCCTTGAGCTAATAAAAAAAAGAAGTCTATTAGCATCTATATATATAACAATGACACTTTTACGTACGCTGTCGGGTATACTATCACTTTGTACAGGACCAAATGGAGGAGGGAGGTTCATCTTGTTCATCAAATGCAGTGTTTGAACATAAAGTCGAGGAACAGTGGCAATGGCATGCATGATGTTGTTGAGAATCTCAGGCGAAGGATCGGGATAGCGGTATCGTAGATGCGGATTGGCGGGATACTCGATCCTAAATCCACTTTGTAAGCTACCCCTGTAAACAATGACAATGCAATAATGATACCATACCCAAGATGTGGTGCAATAGGAGTTGGGTTCAATTCTGCAGTCGATGGTGCGGGGGATACGTGTTGTTGTTGTTGACCACCACCTATTGCACTTTTACATATCCGTTATTCCAACATGAGTTATAAAAGTAGCCAAGTATCATTACTACCTACGTCTTTGGGGTATTTCGTGATGAAGGATTTGGCTTTGCATAATCGACTCGAATCTTTTTGTAAGCATCACCGTATTGATCAAGTTGCTGTAACTGGCTGTACGCTTGTGCTGCAGCTGCTGGATCAGCAAAATCCAAGAACACGGTCCCTTTCTATGCATAGATGCGTTGTTAATCGCCACACGATATCTCGAGTACACACACATTGATCCATCATACCATGGCTGCACTTTGCATGAGTCGTATATCCACAGCATGATATTGCTTGAAATACTGAATAGCCTGATCGGTTGTTTCAGCAATCGATGGTGGTGCGTGCTTGACGATCAGCGTTGTAACCGTGTCCTTTCGCGGATGGTCCAAGTCAGTAATCTATTGCTCACATTGCAATGTGGTGGTGTTGCTGTAGCTACCTGTTGTTGTGGTGGTCGTTCATGAAGGGCATGGTATCCAGGTGCTTCCCTTTGCATGGAAACGGTTGTCGTGGAAAGGCAAAAGGTCTTGCATAGTGCTCGGGCTCTGAGTTGTGTCTCTACCACCGTCACTTGACACAATGCGACGCAACGAATCACTTGTCCTGGTAAGCAAGCAGTTGCCATTCGTCTTGACGAGATCGCCCTTCCAATTCAAGTATATCAGATCGGGTCCAATGTGGTGTTGGTGCCGTACAAGGAAGAACATGTCTTAAAGTACCACGAGTGGATGCAATCGCCGTTTTTGCAAGGTAGATCACTTTTTGCGTATACAAGGTGTCAAGGAGTGCTCATACGCGTTGTATAGAAATGACGGCTTCAGAACCGCTTACTTTGGAGGAAGAATATGAAATGCAACGTTCTTGGCACGAAGACGAGAAAAGTAGGATAAAGCGAGATGATGATGCCACAAGCTGGATGCTAACCCTCGTTTGACAGAATGTACATTTATCATCCTTGCAACACCAGAGGATACCAGCAGCATTGATGTCATCAAAGAAAAAGCAGGTAGGTTATTTAAACACGTGCGTATGACAACAATGTAATTGACTTGGCGTGTGCATATCACCACAGTGATGATCGGGGATGTCAACATCTTCTTGAACGATCCAGATGATGATCCAACGTTTGGAGAAATTGAAATCATGATCGCCGAGGAGAAGTATAGACGCGGTGGTCGTGGATTGGAGGCTCTCAAGATAATGATGGGTTATGGTGAGTGATCATGATTTGCTTGATGATGGCTGCCAGGTGATTGATCCTTTTGTCGACTAGCCTTGATTGAACTTGGTATCCGCACTTTTCATGCAAAGATTTCCTTATCCAATCAGCCAAGCATTGATCTTTTCACGAAGAAACTCGGCTTTTATCCCGTATCTGAATCACGTGCATTCCAAGAAGTTACACTTGAATGGTCGTTGTGCGCTCCTCCTGCTCAAATCACATCGGACAATGAAGATGCGTATGGTGCAAAAGCAACCACGGCACAACGGGAAACAATCGCTGATATTCAAAAGGAGGTGACCAGCCTTTGGAATAACAAGATCCAAAAAGCACAATGGAAATAGATAGTACATAGAACGCACCATATAATAGAGCAGCTCTTTTTTTTCACGAGTACATGGTTGATGTGTGTGAGCGTATGTTTGTATGGGTTGCTTTCTTCATGCGACATATTATTCTGCTACCTCGTCCTTTAGAACACAGGATCAATTGTATTAATAAGCTGTGAGTCCTGAATGAATTCAAAAATGCTTCTTAGCCGTGTGTGTGTGTGTGTTACTTCTTCAGGCGACATGCATTTCTGCTGCGTACCAACATTTGCATAACATCATTGGAACACAATAGGAGAATTAGTTGTATTAATAAGCCCTTTACGTATGACCAGACCCAGTACCTTGGCCATCAAAAATCCGCACACAATGAAATAGCCTACATGCATTCGTGGTCTTTAGTAGGCAGTAGGTCATTGTTTGATACCTGTGATGTCTTTGTTATGCTATACAGCACACTTTTATCTCCCTAATAAAGGCGGTCTCTAGATCTGAAGGATGAATTAGTGCGAGTGGTTGATCCCACGGTCGGCTGTAGTATATATGATACTGCTAACAAGCTCCATGATAGTAAATCCCAAGCTAAAAACATAGGGTTTGGGATTACACCGATTATCGAAAACTGGTTAATATCACTTGTATGCATCATTTCGAAAGGTTTAGTAAGCATTTATAGCCCACGCAGAATAGCTATGCGCATTGTTAGTGAGGGTGTTTAATAAAACAGGAAGCTTTTTTCTATGATCCTTTGGCAAAAGTCTTCTACATTACGTCTATATCGGAAACAGCAGAACTTTATCCCACCTACGGAATACATAAAGCTTGATTCAAGCATGCCCTGGGAATCGTGCGAACCACACACAAGCTTATAAAAGATAAGGATTTTGTAGGTGCTATCGATTTCTGATATCCAAAGCTAAGAAAAGAAGAAATGACTGCATCCACCCATGTATTTTCTCAACTCTCACTTTGCGGAAAAGTCGCTGTTGGTAAGTGTATATATATAATACATGCAATTCAAAAGCTGAAACGCAAATAATAGTGACGGGAGGGGCACAGGGATTAGGCTACGAGATGATGCTTGCTCTTGCTGAAGCAGGTGCCGATGTTGCCTGTATAGACTTACAAGTTGAAAACGGTGCAAAGGCTGTTTCAAAGATTGAAACGGAATGCAAAATCAAGGGAAGCAGCTGGGGATGTGATGTGACCAACGAAGAAGACGTTGCCAGAGTCTTCGATCAAATCGAGGAGCACCATGGACGAATCGATATTCTTGTGGCAGCAGCTGGCATAAACCATGTATGCCCATCGCTCGAATACTCAGCTCAGGGCGTTCGCAAGATCTTGGATGTCAATGTGGCTGGCACGTTTAATTGTATGCAGCAAGCGGCAAAGTAGGTATAAAAGGATGATGATGTTGTTGTTGTTGCTTCTTTTGCTTACATAGACAAAATCACCACCGCCAGGCACATGATCCTTAAAAGTATTCAAGGTTCCATCATTGCTATTGCATCCATTTGTGCTCATGTTGCCACTCGTCCTCAAACTCACATACCCTATAATGCTAGCAAAGCTGTAAGTGTTATGATAATAGAGGGAAAAAAGGAAACAGGGTCTGATTGTTGTCTTTATGGAAACAAAGGCTGTGCATCAATTGACAAAATCGCTTGCATGTGAGTGGGCTCCTCATGGTATCCGTGTTACGTCTATTTCTCCTGGTTACTTTGATACAGCCATGAATGCACAAAACATCCGCCAAATGGGCGAACAAGGTGTCAAAACAAAGCAAACATGGGAAGCTGAGACACCGCTTGGTCGAATGGGCAAACCACACGAGCTTAAAGGAGCAGTCGTATTCCTTGCTTCCGATGCTGCTGCTTATATGACAGGCACAGACATCGTGGTTGATGGTGGTTATACGTCTTGGTAGAAGTAGTAGCATGTATGAATACAATAAATGTTGTTGTACATGGATAAGGTATCCTTTTATATGTGACAAGATGGATTACATGTATAGAACAATTTCTTGGTTCATGGAAGGAAAAAAAAGCAGTAATAGTATGTTACAAAGGTATAAGTAATCTAATCCGATTGAAGACTCTTGAGGAGATTCTCAGCAAGTTGTACATCATCATCTCGCACATCTTGTTCTTCTTCCTCGGTTCGTTGACGACGTCGTCGAGTACGTGGTACAGTGGGTTCGGCATCAGCCGATCGCAACTTGGCCAAAAGATTATCCATCATCTTGCGATCATCCTCAGTACCTGTTCCTTCTACAAAGGGGGAGAAAATCAGTAAATTGCATGGATTGTGTAACCTGTATTCAATATCCAAGCCATACCTTCGCTCAAATCAACGTCCTCAGTGCGTCGTTCCTTTTCAGCAGCTTCCTTTTCTGCAAGCTTTTGGCGTTTGGCTTCAAGACGTTGCTTACGTAATTCCTCTTCCTTTCGTCGCTTCTCTTCTCGCTCTAGCTTGAGAGTGTGTTTCTCCTCAGCGATCGCTGCATCCTTCCAACTACTAACAAATCGGGCAAATACACCGAAAAAGTCATCGGGTCGCATGACCTTGGGGTTCTCGCCATAATACACCATGACATCCTTCCACTTGGCATCCATATTGATGTACACCGTTTGTAAGTCCTCAAACTTGTTGGATGCTTCATTTTCGAATTCAGTCATGACATCCCGGAAACAATCACCTTCTTCAAGCGTCGTGTCTTCAGGCTGCCACTGTGTACCAAGCTCAAGAGCCAATTCCTTCAAACCTTGTCGCATTTCAGTGTATTGCTGCACCAAGTCATTGAAGCTCACCATAACTACCATTCAACAGTTAAAACGAGACCTCTTTTTTCTTCCCCCATTCGTGATAATTTCAACATACTGCGAGCAGCTTGTCCCGTATCCTTGAGATCATGCAAAAACTCAAGAAGGTGTGGGAATTGTCGTCGTGTAACACCAGCCAATACGTGCAATAAAGTAAGCGATGAAACATTGGATGCCTTCGTGTCCGCAAGCTTGTTGATACTCGAAATGCGCATACCAAACGCACCACCTTGGAGACTTGACGCGTTCATAAAGTTGCCAACGAGAAGGATCAACTACAAACCATGTTAGCTATATACAGCAAATCCATTAGGCCATATACTACTTACGCTTAGCAATTCTCTAAAGCTTTCAGAATTACGCAAGGATTCCGAAACATCCAATACCAACGACATATTCTACATTGAATGAAGATCTATGAGCATCCACCCACATACATGCTTATACAACTCATTGTAAGCCTTTACGTACCTTGTGCAGCTGTTCATATCTTTCCCAGAATTGAATGCGCAAAAGCATGAATCGAAGGCGTGGTTCGTATCTGTAGATTGTTGCCATCTACCATTCATCGCATCATGTCAATAACCCCGATCGATTTCATCCTTGTATGGGTATATACCTCTACAGTGAACTGCTCGGGGTAATCCAATTCAGCTCGCTTCTCGTCCGATTCCTTCATGTATTTCTCCATGGTACGAATATCATCATCTTTGCTTGGCAAGTAGGCGATCAAGTTGCTGATAAATGTCTCTGTGCAAAGCTGTTCATCCATTTGCAACAATTGGCGTCGAGCTTCCTTCATGGTCATGTTCTTAATCTTGGGCAAAATGGCCAAATCTGTAACCATCAATCATCATTTGACTTATTAGCATCATGTCCTATGTGTATCCTTCACAGCAACAACAACAACACTTACTGATATTCCTGCTCTTTTCTTTACTCAAGAATTTCACTGCATCCTTCCGCTCTTCAATCTTGGCCTTGAGTTTCTTTTCAAAGAACAAATTGACCTTGGCAGGGAAAAGATCCTCAAGTTTGGAAAAGACACCCGCTTCATCAAGCGTATCTTCCATCCCATTTTCATCCACCGTCTCGAGTACCCAAATTGTCTTGTCCACACCACGAGCATCCAGTTTTTGCCACTGCAAGTTCTTGAGTTTGGTATTGGGATAATGACGCAATTCCTTACGAAGAGGACCAGCAAGAGGTGCATTAGGTGCATTGGGTCCTTTGGCACCTATATCAAAATCTAGGATGAGTACCACACATACAATGAAAAGTCGCTTTATTCAATTACCTGGTGGCGGCGGCGGCGGCGGTGGAACACCTGGACCTCCTTTAAATGGATGTTAGTCACTTTTGTATCATACATAGAACGATCAACAACTTACCTGGTGGAGGTGGAGGGGGAGGAGGAATACCACCTTTGATAAACGTTAGTATCATTGAATAATTTTGATGTTAAAAGACCTTACCTGCACCTGGTGGTGGTGGTGGTGGTGGCGGAGGAGGAGGAGGAGCACCACCTATTACACACATTAAGTCAAATGAACAAAGTTGGCAATAGTATGCAAAATCATACCTGGTGGTGGTGGCGGCGGTGGAGGTGGAGGAATAGCACCACCTATAATATAAATGTAAGTTGAGTGAAATAGAATTGGCAATGATATGAAAAGTTGTACCTGGTGGTGGAGGTGGTGGAGGCGGAGGTGGGATACCACCTATAATATCACATGTGTTAGATCAAATCTTGACAACAATGATCACAAATCATTACCTGAACCTGGTGGTGGCGGAGGAGGTGGAGGAGGTGGAGGTACAGAGCCTGGATTAAAGCAAAGTTAATCCCATGATGCAACATTACTTTCATAAAGCTTACCTGAACCTGGTGGTGGAGGAGGAGGAGGTGGTGGAGGCACAGAGCCTGGATTAAAGCAAAGTTAATCCCATGATCCAACGTTACTCTCATAAAGCTTACCTGAAACCGGTGGTGGTGGTGGAGGAGGAGGTATAGCAGATGAATCCGAAGATGGCGTACCTACACATTCATATGTATGAGATGCCACTCTGGTTAGCCATATAAGGAAAAATAATACATACCAGATGATGGTGGCGGCGGTGGTGGCGGTGGAGGTATATCAGAAGATGGTTTGGGCGTGCCTATATACAAAGGTGATCAGGATCTAATCCTACATTGGTAACGTCTCATTTGACTTACTTGGTTCGGTTGTTGATGGTTCTGGTGTTACATCTAATATATCCAAGAGAATGCTTAGCCGCTGACTATATAGCAAGATTAGATGGATCTTACCCTCTGTTGATGTCATCTCATCCGATTGTGTATTTTGTGCTGATGATGGTTTTGGAGAATCTGAATCCTCTGCTGACGAAGCAGGTGGAACTGTACCAGGAATAATAAATCCACCAGGTCCAATGTTTGCTTGATTGTTGTCTGCTGTAGTGGGCATAGGCTGTAATTGCAAAAGATCAATAAGAGGATCCAAGCCGAATACAAAGAATACATACCAACTTGTGCTTTCCAGACATCTTCCAATCATTTCCTAGCACCAAGCCGTTACTGACAGGTTGATCATCGGATCCATCCTCATATTGTTTGAGTTTCTCTTGAAGCATCGTAATGGTATTTCTGGAGGTCTTGAGTAGTGCTCGCAAGGACGCCAATTCCATTTTCATATTCATCCGCGATCCTTTAATGCTAATGTTGAGTCACCTTTTTCTTATTACATCCCTCGTCAACTTACGTCGTGATACGCTGGAGGATTCTTGTGGTGGTATAGAAGCTTGGCCACCTGCTTGTGAACGCCAATGCTCCAATTCCAACTTCAATTCCTTGTTTTCAGCAGCAAGTCGAATAGCACGTTCCTGAACCTCGGATGCTTCGGCTTCCATTTCATGCAATCGATCAAGTTCGCTGAACTTTTCAATGAGATTGCCAACCGAGACACCAAATGTAGAGCTGAAATCACCCGCTGATACACTGCCACGTCGATCCATAACAACCTGATTCACCAATTCGCTAATCATGCGATGATAATGGGTCCTAATAAAGAGGTAAGTAACTATTCAAGTTATCACCCCATCCATTTCTTTGCACTCACTTGTTTTCAGAATCCCCTTTGATAATCAACATGCTTCGTAGTGTAGAAATCAAATGATCTTGTGCTCTTGGTGCTTCAGCAATGCTATCCATTACCAGGTCGAAAAGCTCGTTTGGTTGTGATATATCTGAATAAACCGATAATTCGTCGCCAAATGCATCCTCTTGATCATTCTCTGCTGCTGCTCTATACATGTCGATCTGCTTGTTGAGATAGTGATAGTCGAGCCTTTCAAGTTTTGGTAGAACACGGAGCATGCCAGCAGCATTCAATTGATTGCGAAGATGGATCCGTTCATGTACCTCATTTGGCACTTTGTTGACAATGATATTGATCAGCATCATGTTCGATAACTACCAAAAGTTATACATGAGCGACCTTTCTTTTCCCTCTATGATCCAAATGTCAAGAAGATCTTACCGCATATTCCATTAAATGGCTATCAGGTGCATTGTAAACGCCAAGGCTTTTCAAGTCGTCGCTCGCTCCAACAAGTGATCCCATCTTTCCTCGACCATCCACTGTATTCTCCAAATCCTTGATCCATGCATTGAAAGGTCCCAAGTCACCACGATGACTTCTTAGCGAATCAAATCCATTCAAAACGTGACCATGACCAACGGGCTTCTCGCACAAGCATATGAAGGAAAGCATGTCGCACACGATCTTGCGTGTCTGCCAATGAGGACACACCAAGGAATAAACGATGGACTCGATGTAGCTCGGATTCGCAATCACTTCACGAACACCCCACTAATAAAGATGATTAGGCGTCATTCTCCTGTATCCATTCCATCCCATCCTCCAAATACTTACGCGTGTATTGATAAGCACTTTGATGCATTTGACAATCTCGATTTCAAGCTCCAAAGTCTTTTCATTTCTAAAGCATGTGAAAATTAGTGAATGAAGAAGATGAGTTGTTGTAAATAGATCATACCTTTCTGTTTTGTGATTCAAGTACGTAAGGCCATTGCATAAGACATAGACGCCTTTGAGATCAATGAACTTGATGACCCAACTAGTGGCATATGTATATAAGTATCCATCCATCCATCTTATTCTTTGACAACAAACTTACTCAATGGGCCGAGTTCTTAAGTTTACGGTAAGATGATCCACCAATGCAGGTGTCACAGCCCGTAAATCAGCTTCCATGAACTTGCGAATAAAAAACTCGGGCGAATAACGATCGAGGTCTGAAAAAGTGGATGCACCGGGACCAGGTTGAGAAATAGGGACACCACTCGTGCTAATGCCAGTGCTACTTGAAGGGCTGATATTGGTGGGTGGTCCAAGTCGACCTGGATGTGCTGACATGCGATGTTTCTCAAGGCGACGGCTGCCATGCTCCCATGTTGCTGACCACATTTCACCTGCTTTCTCGGCAAGCACATTGATAAGGGGTGGTGGTGCATCAGGATCTTTATCGTCAAGGGCTGTTTTTCGACCTGAAGCAAGCTGCTCTGCCTTTGGATCTTGGCTGATAAGTAGCCACTTTTTCTCAACGTCCCATTCCAACATGGCCTTGTATTGTTGCTCGTCTCGAATGCCACGTCGACTCTATTGTGTGTGCACGTGTCTCGTGTCAGCATACCTTTGTGGATAAAAGAAGAAGAACAAGGGACACTTGCCAGCATTTGCTCAAACATGTCGTTAATCTGTTCGGGAGGTGGCATGGCTGCAAAGGGCGAGTTGCCATAGTCCATTGACTGTCGACCATCCATGTGTCTTCGACTATCGATCGATTGCCGTCCTTGATGCCAAAGCCAGGTTTCAGTTGATACACGAAAATAGTTTGTGGTTTCAGAAGAGTCGAAATACCTGATGAGAAAGTGGGCGATGTTGAACGATCGTCGGCGGTAGGTCGCGAAGAAGAACCGGTACTTGGAGTTTTTGACCAACGCCTTCCAATTTTATCAAAAAAGTCTGACATAAAATGAAAGGAGAAGGTGGTGGTAGTGGTGCGTGGTAAAGGATTGTTTCAAGGTAAAAGGGGTCAAATGGGCTGGTGCACGTACACTCACTCACTCGGGATTTGTCGTTTCGGCCGCCCGCCCAGTGCCTTTGTTCCAAATATAGAACCACAGTTGAATACGCCACAATGCAGTATCAGGGACATTGACATCAGAATTTGCTGACGCTTGTTGTGCAACCAATCACCCCCTCCTTCATGTTTGCTTTGTTTGTCTTTAGCCATTATCACCTTGATCCAATCCACAACAATCATTATGTTGTACTTTTTTATTCTTCATACTACAATCAATGTAATAAAAATAAACATTCAGCGCTAGACAATGATCCCACAAGTGTTTCACTTCTATGTACGATGAAGAAGGATGGCAAAATGCATTGCTTCCACGTGCCAACAAGCACACAGCATTACCATGAATGACTATGGAAATGACAAAATGTTTATGCGGAGTTACGCAACGAGGTGAATGGCTATGTTAATCGTTTGAAAAAGTCCAGCATGTTATGGTTATTCATAGCATCAGGCTGTCTGCGCTTGATTTTGGGGGCTCCCACGACATGCGATATTACCTTGATCGGATCGCAGGATAGCTACATCATCCACACCACCTCCACTAGTTTAGTCTCGTGTTGCTCAATCAATACACTTTAATTTCCCAAGACCCACTATGCTATAGGCTCGGGTGAATCCATCATCTTCCTATCATCTTGACAAAGGCCATAGTTGTTACGCATTACCATCAGCAGCCACTTTTTGATGGGAGACGACAACATTTGTTGCGACAATTGTTGTCGTTACACAAACCGGAGTCAACGTAGCACCAACGTGCCACAGCAATATTAGCCTTCTACACCTTATTCTCTATTTGCTTTTCTTTTCTTTCCCCTCTCTTTTGCTTTTTCACTTGTTACATCTCCCCAATACCCCCTCACATTCCTTTCATACAATTATAATGGCAGGCAATAAGGCCAACCGGACCAGTAGGATCATTCAACAACGAGCGCAACAATTCATCCAAGCACAAACAGGACCTAAATGGAAGCGAGAACTTGTCCAAGATCACAAGTGGGATTACATCGACGTTGATGAATTTCGTAGGGGTTCATGCTATAATGGGTTGAGGTGAGTGAGAAAATGAAAGCGAAAAATGAAGCTACAATAAATTCATGCGTATTGCGTTAAACCCAAACAGGTATCTGATCCTCTTTTGTTCGATCATCGTTTCAGTAGCAACCTATATCGCTGATATATGGACGGCCGTAATTCTCCTTGCATTTGACGTGAGTGAATACCCGTACAAGAAAAAAGGGGAACGAACAACGATAACTCATTCTACAATGACCTTCTATAACACCAGCAATGGTCATTATCAGTCGAACCGAAAATCCCCCTTTATATCAGCAAATGGATCTACGTTGCATGTATCGCCTTATCATTCCTTTTGCTTGCATGGGATTTCTTCAAGTTTCGAAAGATCCTCAAATCACAGTATATATCGCTCTCCGTGACCAACGTTATGGCATACCGCTACCACTCTGTCAAAAACTTTGGTCGATTTTGTTTGTTTCGTAAAATCAACAGCTCGCGAAAATCAAGTGATTCAGTCGCTTTCTTTGTCTTTTACACACTTAAAGGTACTATCAAGAAAAAAGGGGCAGCCTAGAGCAAGGGGATCATCATCATCATACTTACGACACAAAATCAATGCAGGATGGAAGAAGCTATTGTTTGCACAAAGCCCACGTCAGATCATTGCCGCATTCACTGTGGCTGCATTGCTCAAGTCCGCTTGGACCGTGAATGGTATGGTGGATGATGATAAATGTGACGTATGACACAATCTCTTTGGCTAACAAAGCACCTGATCTTGGTGGTTAATAGGTAGTTTCCATATCGATGATGATTGGGACGCATATGGAAAGGACTGGCAACAGCGTGTTGCTTTAATTTTGATGGGTTTTACATGCTTGATTTGGGCTTTGTCAATGATCGAACTCTTCTTGGCATGTATCTTGTATATCCCGGTGTTTTGTCAGATCCAAGGCAACCTCAAAGAGTATTGTTGCCATAAGATTGATAAAAGGTGAGTTGAAAGATCTCCTAATTTTGATTGTGTTGTTGTACTATATTTGGCGAAATGAATCGTTTATAACTCTCTTTGTCTTTTTAGGATCACTGAAATCCTAGAAAAGCAACGACGAAAACGGTTACGAGAACAAGAAAAACGTGCAGCCAAGGCAGCCAAAAAGATGCGAAAAGGGGCCAAAGATACCGATGACTTTCAGCTCTTGTCAACAGCCGAAGAAGATCATTCTACTATGTATGATGATACTCGGCCATTAAAGACAGCAGCGGCTGAGCCATATCGAGGCGATGTTAAGCTTGAAATAGCGCCACCACCAGAACCAGTGTATGAACCAGCTTCGTACTACAACAATTATTCATCACCTTCGTTTCATCACCAACATCAACCCCATTCATATTATAACGACGAACCCTATTACGAAATGCAGCAATACCCATCATCATCGCCTTATCAGCCACCACATCGCCAACAATGGCCACCTACTACCGCCTCTCCTGCTCCTCCTACACCTGTCATGTCGTCTCCTTACACTCCTCCATCTACTACATTAACACCTTCAACTCCATACTCTTATACAACAACCACTATTTCATCACCTTCTCCTGGGTATCGTGCAGCTGGACCTGTCCCTCATCCGAATCACCATCATAACAACTATTTTTAATCCAACCTCCTCCTCATCATCCGTTTCAATAAAGATAAATCGGTTTACGACGTATATTTGTTATGCTGTTTGCTTAACATCACTACGATCACTCGTTGTATTACTTTGGCTAGGTTCCATATCAACTACTCCAGGACCGGCAACGGTTGCGTCGTTGTTGTTGTTGACCTCTTTGGTGAGTGGGTTGAAGTGATTGAGCAATTTCAAGATATCGGGATAGACGACGTTTTCAATCTCTTCGGCCCATAAAAAGTCCAAATGCTCCCATCTCTCAATAGCCTTGACATACGCCAAAGGTGAAGGTAAATCAGCTGCCAAGACACTAAAGTCCACCAATGAATCGGATCCACCATAAAAGATAGCAATAGGTGTCTTGATTTGCTTGGTAGGGAAACGAGGAGGCACGTGATCCATGACAGCATTCGAAGTATGGTAGGGTAGACGGCTTGGTAACTCATCAAACATTTGGAAACGGCCCGTTCGAATGATTTGGAACCAATGCTATACACATGAATTAGCTTGACGGTATATAAAATCCCATCACTTTCACGCCTTTCACTTACCACAAGCGATTTGACACTGGTTAAGCTGTATAGATGTTGATAGCTCACGAGCTTTTGTTCGGCTGTCATGTTGCGACCGGTCCATCCAAAGAGAAAACCCACACTGCTATCAATGACCTTGACAAACATGGGTGGTGAAATGACACGTTGCCAAAAGAGGGCCAATTTGAGTGGCGTCTTGCGACCAAAAAGTAAATAAATGACTGAAGGGGTGGCCTTGACAAATGCATCGATCAAAGGATGGTGCAATCCTTTAGGCGTTGTAGCGGGTGCCATGGCAATGAACAAATTGACCTTGCGGTTCAAGGAAGGATTGATGGATAATGCTGAAAAGGCCTGTGCTGTGCCTTGTGAAAAGCCAATGTACGTCAAATTGGGTGCACCCGTGATCTCTAAGATATACTATAGCATCAATTGTTAGGGGCGGGCGGGGGAAATCATTCTATCACCTTCTCCTTGTAGGACTTACATCCACAACATCCGGCAAATCACGCATCGCATACTCGTTCATTGAGAACTCCCAAAAGCTCTGGTGGCGTGGATTCCTCCATAGATGATTTTGGCTATACTTGTTGCCACGTGCGTTGCCCAACCATACATCATATCCACGTTCAGCCAAGATAAACGGCAAGTTGCGATGCTCATCCACATTACAAATCCAGACTTCAGACGACATTAAGAAACCATGATACAATAGGACGACGGGTCGAATGCTGTTGTTGTTGTTCACACGAGGAAAGTGTTCATCAAAGTATTCGAGATTGTCAATGACTTGGATACGATGGGCTTTGCTCTCGATCATTTTTCCCACAGGCGGTAAAGAGCGATCCGTAGACTTGATGGATGGGATACGATGCACACACAATAGATAGTCATCCAATGTTCGTACCACGTGCTGCTCAAAATTGTATCGTTTCCTATGCAGGAACACACACACAAAAAGTAAGCTTGCATGTATCCTCTTCATGCATGGTGATCCTTACCAAAACCGCATCATTTCATCAAAAGACTCGGCCTTCTCAAGAGGACTCACGTGAGGCTCACTTTCAAGTTTTGACAACCATGGGAATGCACTATATCCATCACTATTAGATATACCTATTCTCTGCTTGTATGAAACGCGTCAAGACCTACCTTGCAATAAACACATCGATGCTTCGGATTATGAAGGACGGCAGAATGGTGACAATGATGCGCACAAGGCTTTCAAAGCCGAAAAAGAGGACTGCAAATATCAGACTGAATGGACTCCAGGTTAGTCATGGGAACCGATTGCTGTTCAACGAAGAAGAGACGTGATACCTCTGATAGTCGCGAAATGTAAGGCGGTCAAGGATTGGTATAGAGATTGGAATCATGGTCGTGTTGTTGTGTATGTTGAAAGAGCAGCAGCAGCATGTGGTGCATAATCCTGATGGGAAGCCCCAAGCCCCGCTGAAACCCAAGTACCAAAAACGGAAAGCTAGTTTACATTCACATGTCAAACCATCATCACAAAAGAGAAAATGAAGGATCATATATCATCATGGAACAATATGGATAAAAAGTGATATATAGTGAGAATGGTGGTGGAGATGGTGATGAGGATTAGGATGCATGACTATGATAACAACACGGCTTATCACATCCGATCTCATGGTACACCAATGATGAATGGTGATAGCCCACGTTGTATTTTAGCGTACACACACACACACACATAACACACGCCCATTTCGTCATACCTGAATCTCGGAGAGGAAACGGCTAATCGTATTGCGGTCTCATAAATAAGTCGACAATGCCGCTGTGTATACAACTGCGTCCTCTCCTGCTTGCTAAGGGTGGAATCGTGGTTACTTTTATAATAGTAATGAGCTGGAATAGCATTAAATTAGAGTTGTATGGAGTTCCTTGCCATCACTACTACTGTTGCCGTGTGATCATGGAAAGTTTATTATTGCTCGTTCTTGTAAGGACACGTATTGCATTAGAAATCATGACCCTAAAGTATAAAGATGATGAAAGAAAAGGTTTGGGGATGATGTTGTGTTTGCCAACGTAATCGACTTGCCGCTTTTTGGCGGTTCTTTCGTCATCCAAGAAGCTAAAACAAAAAAACCTGTCGTCTTGGCGGGGCCATATTGCTTTGAGGTCCGCATCAGTCGACCCTTTGGGCCCTACTTTTCCTTGTATAGTGATAGCGTGTAACACCCCGATACGATTTCATGAGGTGAAAACAGTTGTAATGCACTCTTGTACAATCATGTATGTTTGTGTAAATTTCAGTGGCACACACACGCATGCAGGGATTGGTTTGATGGGGTGAGGGAAAAAAAAAGTGAGAGAGTGAGAGTGTGAGGGAGGGAGTACAGGACCCTATTTTTCACACCACCACCACCACCAGCACCGGCTAAACAGGATCTGGTTTTGGAACTTTGTGGTGTTTCTTTTGGCGGTGGTAAAGTGTGTGTGTGTGTGTACATTGCGGAGAAGATGAGATGCAGCTAAAGATGTGCGTGCGGTGAATGGCAGGCTGAAAACGAAGAAAGGGACAGCACCAAAGATGAGTCAGGTCTCCAGGGTCCCAGACAAAAGTTATGTAATCACCAATGAGGGTGATATCTGAGTATGGATGGGGAAACAAGTGACACGGGTTTCAGCTGTATCAGGGCCCAGTTAGGTAATCATCACAGGGTGTGATGAGATGACGGGCACCTGGCTGGTTTCCAAGGGACTTTCCATTTTGCTAGCCCTACCCTTATATAAGCGCCTTATCTCCTCTCACGTCTCTTTACCGGTTTCTCTTTTACTTTACACTTTTCCATACCCAAACAAACAAATCACACAACCATGAGATTGATCATCCGTGAAGATTATGAGGAAGTCTCTTCCTACATTGGTAAGCTCCCACATTGCATGTTGTTGTTTCTATCATATCTTAACCCATCTTTTTCTTTTTAACAAAAGCCAACTACACCAAGGAGCGTATTCGTCAATACAAGCCTACTGCCGAACGTCCTTTTGTCCTTGGTCTTCCTACTGGTTCTTCTCCCATTGGTACTTACAAGAAGCTTGTTGAGCTTTACAAGGCTGGTGAAATCAGCTTCAAGCATGTGGTGACCTTCAACATGGATGAATACGTTGGTCTTCCTCGTGATCATCCTGAATCATACCATTCTTTCATGTGGACCCACCTCTTCAGCCATGTCGATATCAAGCCCGAGAATGTTCACATTTTGGATGGCAATGCTGAGGATTTGGACGAAGAATGCAAGCGTTATGAAGCCGAGATTGCTCGTGTGGGCGGTATCGAGCTCTTTTTGGGTGGTATTGGTCCTGATGGTCACATTGCCTTTAACGAACCTGGTTCATCTCTTACTTCTCGCACACGTGTCAAGACTTTGGCCTATGAAACCATCCTTGCCAATGCTCGTTTCTTTGATGGTGATATCAGCAAGGTGCCCAAGTTGGCTCTCACTGTCGGTGTTGCGTAAGTTTGGGAAAAAAAGTGTGGAGTAAGAATTTTTGCTCGGAGCGACAGAGAGAGACTCATAGTCATCGTCTTTTTTTTCTGCGTAGAACGGTCATGGATGCTCGTGAGGTGTGCATCATCATCACTGGTGCTCATAAGGTAAAGTCACCATACACACACACACATACACACACTCGCTTTTTTTCCAAAATGACGTAAACATTAACAACAACCCCATGTCCTTTAGTCAATTGCTCTCTCCAAGTGTATTGAAGAAGGCGTCAACCACATGTGGACCGTCTCTGCTGTGCAGATGCATCCAAAGGGTCTCATCGTGTGCGACGAGGACGCGACCCTTGAATTACATGTCAAGGTAACACAAGCAAAAAACCCTGGAAAATTTTTTTCCTCACAGGATCACTTACCCCATCATCATCATCCATCTTCTTTTTCATAGACCGTCAAATACTTCAAGTCTATTGAACACGTACACCACTCCCTCATTGGTGCCGAGAACCTTGGTCTTCAGGGTAAGTCCATTGTCCATACTTGGCTGGTTGAAGGATCATAAGTATAAACATGATGATTAATATGGGATCCTTGTTATTAGGTGGCGTGAAGCAATTGCGTAGCCCAACTTCCGCTGAGCACCCTAAGACTCCCTTTGAGTAAAAAGGGTATCTCCCCCACCTCCATTCGCACCTAATTCTTATCATACTTTCACACACAAACACAAACACACACGCACTCACCTTTATACTTTTGTTTATTTCTTTGCATCTCATTCCTTTAGTATGTGTATATCATCATTAAAGCCTTCATTATCAACTTCTCTTGTAAAGTAATCTATGGATTTCATTGTACAGTGTATGTAATCGATTTCTCCGCAATGGAGTAGCTCGATCAGGTCGTGTAACGTATTGACGTTATAATAATAAGGTGTGACCAAGGAGTGGGATGATTGCTCATATGATGACAAGAGATGAATTACATCAGCGACCCATATCTTGCATGATAGTAGCAGATCAAATGGCACATGATCGGGTCATTCATTCACTAGAACATTTACAAGCAGGCACCAATGCTTGGTTTATTGTGTACATTCACGTGCGGGGGATCTTTCATGCACTTCTTCCTTTCATTCAATATCATCCTGTGATCCTTCTTCCTATCTCTTTATGGACTACAGTTTTCGTTCCAAGGTTGTTATATCTTAACACGTGTCCCCCCAAGTGCTCGTTGCAATTGACATGTGTTGATTGCAGATTCTGCTTTTGCATTGTATAGATCGCAGACCACAGCCACTCGACTACCACCACTACTACCGCCGTTGATGAAAATGGTCCATTTGAGGGAGGAGCGTCGATGGTTGCTACTGCCACACGTCTCAATTACAAAGGAAGCAAGGCATCTTTTACTTTGCGGCCTGCGTTAGACGATACGAGCAACATCCAGCAAAAAGCACAGCCCAAGCATAAGCACCGTTCGATATCCACTGATACAACAGCAGCAGCGGCACCTCTTCCTCTTGATGTTGATGATCTATCCTCCAACATACCACATAAACGTCGACGGTTGGAACAGCTTTCCCCTTTTCCTGTGCTTCCTATTCAGCTTCCAGAGTATTTACGCCCATTATCATCATCGTCTACAAGCAAAAGACAAAATTGGTCATTATCAACAATTGAGACCCGCTCACGAACGAGGCTGTATGAGAAAGGAGTTCCACCACGGCAAATATTCGATTACAACAATAACAAACAGCATCATCATCATCGTCCAAAGGAGCCATTTGCATGTGCAAAAAATCAAATGGGGTGGGTCAATGCACCATCCGTGGTAGAATACGAGCATGAGATTTATCAACATTTACGAGAGATCGAGGTACTTTGAGGGGAGGGAAAGAGTAAGGATGTTATGGTCTTACTAATCATCATGTCATCATCTAGCTGAAGATACTACCAGAGCAAGATTATGCAAGCTACCATGAAAAAGGCTTTGATTGGGATACTCGGAGCATACTTATGAATTGGATGATCGCCTTGCACTCACGATTTCGTTTACGACCCGAGACACTTTACTTGTCAATCAACATTGCGGATCGATTTCTATCACGGCAACCGGTTCCGAGGGATGACTTGTCGTTGGTCATTATCACGTCTCTTGTTATTGGATGCAAGTATGAAGAAGGCTTGACCCCTTGTGTTGCCCAACTTGTTGACTTTGCTGGCCATGATTATACAGAAAGAGAGGTGCATGTAGCTGAACGTTATATACTGGAGGTCATCGATTACAATCTCGCTTATCCAAATCCATTACAATTCTGGCGACGCATTATCAAGGATCAACCCTGCGATCGAATCACATCCGCCATTGCCCAGTACCTTATCGAGATCTCTTGTGTTGATCATCATTTCCTCTACATTCTGCCATCCAAGATCGGTGCTGCTGCTGTTTACTTGTCCCGTTCCATTGCAAGAAAAAGTCCTCTTTGGGTATGAAGATGTGTGGTGGTGGTGGTGTGGGATTTCATGCCTATCGCTCATTACCATTGATGATAATGATAGACCAAGGAATTCATTGACATTTCCGGATACGCTCAAGTCATCGAATTGAAACAAGTTGCCCAGTTGATGGTAAATTACCTTTCCAAACCTATTGAAGACAGCGTTCTTTTCCGCAAGTGGAGTGCAAAGCAGCTGTTAGGAATAAGTTTACACGTCCGTGATTGGATATTGTTGTATCATCGTAATAATATGAGAAGCAAAGGATGATTGTATCTTTATGAATGTCCCATTAAATCGATTATCATCACCATTGGTTATAAACAAAAAGATGCCCTTTATTATGAATCATGTGAATGAATGGTTTCTCTTGTTTCTCATAAAGTAGCAGGATCTGTTTCATGCGCTAATGTGGTCGCTGCGCCATTCGGGAGGTGTCAAAATTCCAAGCTGGGCGTTCTCTCATTTCCCTTTCTCAGCTCCCTCTCTCTCTCTTTCTTTCACTTCTTGGTCCCGCTTCCACACAACCCCCCCACCCACCAAAATGTCTTTTGCTGGCTATTTGTTTGGAAATGTTGACGAACAAGGACGGCTAGATAACGATCTCGATGAGGTATAGCATTGACTTGATCTCTCTCATTGTGAAGGTATACTAACCTATGTTCTTTTTACAGGAGTTGCGAGAGTCACTGCAGCATGTCGATTCCAAGTTCATGTCCAAAATTTTCAACGCAGAGACGTTTGGCATTGCAACAGTAAAAGGTGGTGACGATGATCAATACGACGACGAAGCAGACGAATCTTCAGCCATCCAACAGCAACAACAGCAACCCACTCTGCATGCAAGCGATGCTGTCGACTATTCAGACTTTAACGAAGCTGTACCTGACGATCAGCTCTTTTCAGACAAATATTATGAACGTGGTATGAACATTGTTTCCAAGTCAACGTCACGACTACGAGCTGTCAACGATGACTATGACGAAGAGGACGAAGACGAGTATAAGCAACAACAGCAACAACAACCCTACGTGTCAGTCAAATCAGAGGTCTTGGATGATCTCTTGCCAACAACAACACAATTCTCGATGATGCTCCCACAATCATCAGCGACCGCTCCTGTATCAGCAACGAAACAAGTGGATATCAAAGAATTGTTCCCAGCATTTGAAAAGGACAAAGTGCTAAAGTTCTCCGAATTGTTCATGACCAAGTTAAAGGCGACATCTCGATTGCAACAAAATAAGCGAGGTAAGTAAGGAAGGAAGGAAGGGGATATGGGATGATATTATATACACACATACTAAAGCATGACATTAGTGATATTTGGTGACGGATACGAATACGAAGTAGAACGTGATCAGCAAACGCTCTTTACTCGACCTATCAAAGACCGACACAAAAAGAGATCTTGGGATCAGGGCAAAGCAGCTGCCAAACGAAGGAAATTGGAGATCATGTCGCTCGATGATTCACAACCCCTTGGCGAAAGCGATGTTGAAAGCTCGGATGAATCGGATGAAGGAGAAGAGATGGTGAGCAAATGAAGAGATGTGTGTGTTTTGATGAATGAAGGTTGCTGACTTTTTGAGTTATTCAACAGTCGATCACAGAAAGACCACCACAAGATATCGAGAACAATAAATTGTATCATTCAATCATGTTGGAAAGATGGGAAGATCATATCCATTGGGGGGATAGCGACGAGGATGATATGAATTGGTAAGATCGAGGAGTAAAAAGAGGGAGTGTGAGTGAGTGAGTGAAATGAAGAGGCTGATGAATTTGAGTATAGGGAATCAGTGGATGGACCTTCAACGTCGTCTGAGGTGAGTAATTGATGTCTCTTTGAAATCTTGATGGGTAAAGGCTAATCAACAATGAAATGGTAGTCCGTTGTATCCAAGCATATCAATCAGCAGTTATCGGATGGTGAATGGCTCGATGCGATTATATGGGACCGACCCAAGCCGAATCCAGCATACATGAAGATCAGCCTTGATTTGAATGACCCCAACATGCTGTTTGACATGGAGAAGATAGAGACTGAAAAGGCACGTGTGGTCGAAGCCAAACAAGTCAAGAAGGGAAGGAAGCCATTACCAAAGCCTTTGCCCAAGATTCCTATGATTGTCAGCACCGATGAACCTCAAAATAAGCTACCCATCAGCCGTTTCAACTTGTCCAATGACAAATTCTACGAATCCCATTATACGGGTCGTCTTGTACGTGTACGACAAACACTTGGTGAACTCGTGGTGCAGCATGCATTGCCGGCTCTCAAATTACATCCTGTTCTGGTTAGTAAAATACTTGATGTTGCATGGATGGTATGACAAAGAGTAATTAACATTGTCATTGTCTATAGTATAAGATTCGACTTTCAAAACCAGAGCTTCGTTCCTTCCATCGACCTTTATTCCCAGTGCCTCTCAATTCAGATATCACGTTCTCTCGCGTCAAAGTCTGCAAGAAGAAAAAGAAGGATAAGAAAAGAGGATATGTGGATGCCATGCGAACCACCAAGGATTTATCTCTCAAGGACACTGCTCCATTTGTGTTGCTTGAATTCTCAGTAAGTAGATGGAAAAAGAGATATGAGCCATCCATGTATATTGATACACCTTGGTCTTTAGGAACAACATCCTCCCATCATATCCAATGCAGGCATGGGCACGTTGATCATCAATTATTATCGCAAAAACGATCCAAAGGATGACCATGTTCCAACGGTAAGTTCATCATCATGATATATAAATGTGCACATTGCTCATTGTTGTATGTAGTCTGATATTGGTGAACCTTTTGTGCTTGATATTGGTGATACATCTCCCTTTATGAATTTCGGCAATGTGGAGCCTGGTCAAACGATACCCGTGTTATACAACAACTTGATCCGTGCGCCACTTTTCCGCCACGATGTTAAGCATACCGATTTCCTATTTGTCCGCAGCACCTATAAGGGCCACACTCGTTACTACATCCGTGAGATTCCAGCTGTATTTCTCGTGGGCCAAACATATCCTGTACAAGAAGTGCCTGGACCTCATTCACGTAAGGTGACCACCACGATCAAGAACCGTTTGCAAGTGATCGCCTATCGCATGATCAAAAAGAACCCACTGCAGCGACTCAAAATGAACAAGCTGGCAGCACGATTCCCCGAGTACACAACTTTGCAAATTCGCCAGCGACTCAAAGAGTTCCTTGAATTACATCGACGAAGCAAGGATGGTGGTGGTGGCTATTGGAAAGTGCGTGGTAATGGTGATCCACCCTCTGAAGAAGATTTACGCAAAATGGTGACCCCTGAAATGGTGTGCTTGCACGAGAGCATGCTCGTGGGTGAACGTCACTTGCAAGATTTGGGTTATGGCGACGTGGGTGATGATGAAGAAGTCGGCGAAGGTGATTCAAAACTCGAGTTGGAGCAGCAACTCGCACCTTGGTTTGCCACACGCAACTTTATCAATGCCAGTCAGGGCAAAGCCATGCTTAAGCTCTATGGTGCTGGTGATCCGACAGGTCGTGGTGAAGGTTTCAGCTTTATTCGTGTTTCAATGAAGGATATCTTTTTACGTGCTGGTGAATCAGCTGAAGAGAAACTTGGTAAGTTGATAATCATAATTATCTTGAAGGGAGGGATGCTAATATGGAATTACTATTATAGCTCAAATTGAAGCTCGACCCAAGAGTGCTCACCGGTACAATGTTGCTGAACAACAACAAATTTACAGAGAAGAGGTATTGTGGATATATGATAAAGAGGAAGGATGACTCTGTTACTGATACGTGGTTATCAAAGATTGCACGCATTTGGAAAGCACAATTTGATGCGCTTACATCCAAAGAGGAGCCTGAATTATCTGATAAGGAAACTGACGATGACAATGAAGGTGAATCATTATCTCATGTTGGAAGCCCAATGGTAAGTGTATGAAATAGAAGTAGTGATATTAGATAGCTAATGATGGTTTTATTTACAGCCTGCATCTCCTGCACCTTATGGCCGACGTTTCGAGCGAGCACAATCAGAAGCAGCAGATGATGATGATATCTCGGTAACAGGCAGCGTTGGCTCACGAACAAGTTACCATGTCAACAACAATCCCAACAAGCACCTTGTGATTCGCCGATTGATTCGACAGCCTAACGGAGAAAAAGCATGGCAAGAGGAAGTGGTTCGAGATCCTGTGGTGATCAAATCATATCTTCGCCAACGCCAGATGATTGAGGAGGAAGCAACAAGGTAAGGATATCAAAAAGTCACTTGTTGGTGGTATAGATAAGCTTACCTGTATATCTTTTTAATGTAGCGTGGAAGCTCTACGACCCACGGATGATGCTGAAAAGAACGAACGGATGAAGAAACGTTTACAAGAACGCTTGGCTAAGCTCAAACGCAATGCTGAACGACGACGACAACGACAATTGGCTAAGCAAGCCGCATTGGCTGAGAATCCTGTGCTTGGTTTGATTCGTGGCAAACGAGAAGGTGCTATGCGACGTTGTGGCAATTGTGGACAACTTGGCCATATGAAGACAAACAAAAACTGCCCCATGTTCCATATCGTCAATAACAATGCTAGCCATGCAACGGCTGCTGCTGCTGTAGCTGCTGCTGCTGCAGGTGGTAATGGGCAACAACTACCTCCCTCCTCCTCTTCCGCATCCACACCAGCAACCTCTCCAGCACCACCATCAGCATCATCTCCTATGCAAGGCCCCACCACGACGAACAACAACAACAACAACAATCCTGCATCCCAGTAAAAAAAAGAAAGACTCAACTCCTGTAAAGAAACTACCCCCCATCTACAATTTGATACAACCATTTGATTCCTGTACCATACAAATAGATCCTCATCATCATGAAGCTGATCTATAATAAACTAGCTTTACAACATCACTTTTTATTCTTCGTTTTCTTTTTAGATGATTTCTTGCTGTTGCTACCAAGTAATAATTCTGATTCACATCGTGTGCACGTGCATTGGAAAAAGTAATCTTCGAGGAGCTTTTTGCGACGAGCGGCGACAGGCAGACTGGTGTCAACGTATGAAATGGTGAGTGGTGTATCAGCTTCAGCAGGGCGCAAAGTTCGTATTTCCATGACACGATACATTCCACGTGGCCGAGTAAACACATCTGGGTAGACCATGGATACGCTGACGGTGCCATCGTCGGGGTTCTCAATGGTGTGCTTTTGCATTTCATCCTCTATTCCATCATTGTGTAAAAGTTGTTCAGCTTCGCAATTGCAATCGCAGTCGTGGTTAAAAAGGGATACCACAGGAAATAAAGCTGCATAAAATACATTAGCCCTTATCTCACATACGAATCACCTATCTTACCTCGACCCACAGGCTCTTTTTTGTTCAAGATATGGACACCAAATCCATTGGATTCAATACGTGAGACAAGGTGCATGATATCCAAGGATGATTGATCAGGTAATTGGGATTCGAGAAATGTCAACACACGGCGATAATCCTCCTTGAGACTCTCATCCCAGTCAAGGTAGTGTGATTCGAGTGCATCGACTTGGTCGTGGTTGGTATCGAAAGGCGACAATTCACAAGAACGCTGCCAATGTACAAGTAAAACGAGCTGTGCAATGCTTCTTTCATGTCTTCCAACTTTTTTGAGCGAGGCGAGTTTGCGCAAGGCTGTACAAATCCAAGCGTTTTGGTGATGTGGTAAATATGCATCGGCACATGCATTGCTGCAGAAATAGACCTGGTCACATGCCTTGCAGTGCATCGAGAACGAACGTGTTGGGTGTGGACAAGAGCAATAGGCGCATACTCGTTTACGGAAGCTCTCAAAGATACCTATGTAGTTGTTTTCGGCCCCCCACAGACATGCAACATAGTGTTCCATCCATCATCAGTTTCATTGTTGGCAAATACCTTTTCTTCCCCCTCATAAGAATGAATGACACTTGCCTACTGCATATGGGTATACCTATTTACCATGATTCAAAAACAAAAGAAAGAAAGAAAAGAAAGCATAGATACAATGAATAAAAAGAGCCTATATATATCTGAGTGTGTGTGTGTGCATGGGGTGGGGGAGAGAATTTACTGTATACAATAGCATGGAAGGATGACTATACACGAAAAAGAGACTCGTCGGCTGAAATAGGTTTGGTGGCAATAAACTCTCGACCTTTGCCAGGCGTCGTTTGTATACGAACAGCTGATGGCAAAAAGTCGAATGTCATGAGCAACAATTCACAAAGAAAAAAAAGTGATCCAAAGAAAAAGAGCGACACTATGGGAATTAAAGTTTTCTTTCTTGTTGGTAACCCTATCGTGTGCAAGCGGGGATGACGGGCGTAAAAGCGGACCGGCGTTGAAGAGGAGGCACTGCCATATTTGTGGCAAATGATGATGATGATGATGATGATGACATCTGCGTTGATGTTGTCGGTGATGTGGGTGATGGTAATGGCTGATACACAAATGGATGGTATGGCGGTATAAAGGACATTGCCATGGTTGGCTCATGTTCTGTGGTTGTTGTTGCTGCTGTTACTGTATTTGTTATTACATCAGGCACCTGTTGGTGGTGGTTGTGGGGATGCGTTGTCTCATCAGTCCTACGTATAAAAGGCTGATCAATACATAAAGGCATGCGTCATGATGATACTACATTACCATTCAATGTGGTATTTTTCATGTCGAGACAATGTGGTCTTGCGAGTGAATGATTTTTCACACATGCGGCAATGATATGGCCGAAACCCGCTATGGATACGCCGATGTCGTGCCAATGAGGACGACTAACAATATCCAAAAAGATGAATACAAGTGATATTTTTATCTTTATCTTTTATCGTTCCCCCCCTTACATCACTAAAAGAACGTTGACATGATGGCAATTCGCACACGTGTGGCCGTTCACCGGTATGCGTACGTCTGTGCACGGTTTTAGCAGAACGTTGAATAAACTGCTTATTGCATCCGGGCCAATCGCAACGAAAAGGTCGTTCACCCGTATGGATACGTTGATGCCTTGCAAGGTCGGATCGCCTAACAAAGGATTTTCCACAATCTGACCACTCACAGTGGTAACGTTGACGAAGCCGTTGTTGCAGTGGTTGATTGTTAGTAGGTTGATGAGGATCGCTTTGTTGCTTGGGTTGGGATGGTGTAGCATACAACATGGTGTAGTGGTCTGGGCGCAGTACGGGTGCAAAAATCAAATGGAAACTGAGAAGAACAGGAAAGAAAGGCGTCAAGTGGTGATCTTTGTGGCTACCCAGAACCACGTTGCTTGACATTTGTGTTTCAGCAACAGCACGCGCATCTAAACCACAACCAACCCAAATTTATAAACAAAACAACAAAACGACCATGAGGCCCGTGCTGGTGGTATCTTCTTCTTCAACCAGCTATCGGGATCATCGGAGCAAGTAGTGCCACACGCTGCGCACTAGCGTGTGGCAACAACTACCACTACGTAGTATTGTTCGCCTGCTGACGAGATCACATTGACACGGCATCCGATGACAACCATACAATAATACTTGCTCTGTGCGTGGGTTTATTATTATCTAGAGTGTGCATCTTGTATAGTGCCTCGATTTTCCTATTTGCCTTGACAGCAGCAACCAAAAGTATTCATCCCACGCACGTTCCCTTCCATCAAAGTACTGCTGCAAAGCATAATCTTTTCTTTTATCCCCACACCCTCCTTCTTTTTATCATCTTCCCACGCAGCATGCATTCACTTTTGCATAGCTCCTACTTCCAACTTTTTGTTTTTCTTGCCATATGCACGACACAATCCTCTCAACGCCCACCATTCCCACAACAATACAAACGTAGCCACTGGTGCGACCACATGTGTGCGATCTTCATAAATAGAAGCAGTATTTTACGTATGTTGGCGTATGATGCAAAGCAAAAAGCAGCCCATAGCCTATACCCTACCAGCTTTTGTGATATGAGGGTAGCGGCAGTAGTGGTGGCTATAGTGTTTTGGTGGTGTTGTAAAGTGAAAGGAGTAACACATTGAATAAAGACCTCCATTCTCCTCCATACTTCATGCATGAGATCCTCAAGAGTAATTGGCTTTGTTGGCGGATTATCATTTGGTTGTATGTGATGATGCTTTATTGATATTGTCATATGCACTGGATGCTCAACTAAGCGCACATTTCGCTTTTACAATTGAAATGGAAGTTATGGTTACACGACTAAATCGAGATACCAATGCAGGAGGCAGGAGATCGGTTTGAGTAACAAAGGTGGGTTGGTAGACAATGAGCTCAAAACGATAACTTTTTGCCATAGAAGACGAATGATGATTCGAACAATGACGCCTTGATTGGTGTAGACAAGGTTGCTGGTATGCATGCTCCAAAAGTAAAGAGAATGGGGGTGGTTAAGGGTGTTCATGTAAGCTGGTGTTTGCTATAGACAAGCCCTTTTGCAGTAATAGACAAACGCGAAAGCTGGTGGATCCAGTGGTGAATGGTAGCCATTGTTTTGTTGTCATGGTTGCCATGTCATTGCATGTTGGGTGCATGAGAGTCGCGATCGACGTTAGATGCCGGCAATTTGGGTTGCTTGCGTGAGGAATAGAAAGCTACACATAAAGAGCGCTTTTGAGATAACGCGGTATCCAAGATACGTCCACATGACACGGAATCGACACGATCATGCTGTATTGAAATTAGACCCCGAACTTTATGATAGCTGAGATTCTGGTATCTTCAGGGCATTGTCTTCTTTTCCTCCTCCTGTTATCTCCATGCCAAATCGCAACGTCTTTTTTATTCTATTTGCCATTCTTGCCCTTTTATCAGTTCCAGCATGTGCCAATCAAGCAACAATCCATGACAATGTAATGCTTATAAGGGGCATGTGTGTATATAAACTGCTACTAGACTACTCTTCTTTTGACATTTATAGCCTACTCTATTGAATGAATCACCCACAAATCCTCAGCCATCCTTCCCTGATTACCCTTCAGAGCCACCTCGCCTTGGAGAAATCTATGATACCCTGCCACTGCTGATGAATTGGAAACTTGCATACCTTTTTACCGTCATTACGCTTTGCTTCATGTTAACAAACTATTTTCTTAATGCATGCGAAGACCATCTGGATAATAATGACAAAGTCGATATGGGATACAGCAACAGCCAACAGCATAGTGAAGAAACGATAGGCCTGTTGGCCGAGAATACCACCATTGTAACGGCAACCGGGGTTTATGGCGCCCTTACAAAAGCAAGCCACAAGAAGGATCTGATAACATTACAATAATAGTTGCTACATTAGGAACATACATACATACATACATACATACAGCATAAAATAAACGCCATTGATCATTGGAGAGAAAGTTGGGAAATGGGATGATACTTTGATTCTTCATGTTGTTGATGCCAACGATCATCGTTTTATCTCGTGATCGACCCACAGGGTCAAATAACTAGACCAAATCTGATAAGCAAACAAATCGGGGAGTGCTGGTATCCGGGGGATTGCGGCCCATCCTACCTAAATTATCACATCGATCATTCCCCTTCTTTAACCTCTTTACTTTTTTTTTTACATACATACGTGACATGCCCACGGAGCTTCATCCAAATGCTGATTTTCACAAGGCTGGCTACTTGTACTTGCTAGTATGCTGGGCTGTCTTTCTCAGCTATTCTATTTTATACCAGCTCAATCGATGCATAACGTTATTTTTGCGCTGGCAACAACAAAAACGGAGGAGGAGGAGGAGGCGATATACCAAAGGACGACGAGATAATGATACCACTATACGGGCTCCTCTTGAGATTCTCAATCACTGGATGAGACCCCTTGAGCATTCAAGGACGATCCCATACATCGCAACGATGATATCCACCAAACATTTAATTGGGATGAGCCTTTTCATCATTGCCAACATTGTCTTTATATGGTTTTCACCATTCAAACTACATCCATTGATGGATCATTACGAGTGGCCCATCATTGGTATCTTGGATCGACGTATGATGTACGTAGGCATGGCCAATTTCAGCTTTACAATGGTGCTAGGCACACGTAATTCGATTATCACAGCATTGTGTGGGCTCAGCTTTGAGCAATTGATTCCATTTCATCGTTGGTGTGCAAGGTTGGGCTTGGCAGAAACTGTGCTACACGTGGTTTATCGAGCGTAAGTAGCAACGATGCCAAAAACAATGGCCAGCTTCTTTGTGTTAACAAAAAGTTGACATGTACATAATAGCTGGTATGGATATTGGGAAAGTGGAGAAGGTAGCCTCCATGACGCATTCTTTAAGGATGAAGAGTATACATCAGGGACCCTAAGCTTGGTTGGATACCTTATCCTGTTTGCAACGTCGCTCTACTACATTCGACGTCATTTCTTCCGGTTGTTTTATTATTGGCATATCATTGGCATTGTCATTGCCACAGGTGGTGCCATGTGGCATGAGTGGTCTTGCATTTACTTTTTGTATCCTCCTACTGTGCTTTGGGTCCTGGATAGGCTATTACGGTCCTATCATTCATGGTGGCAACAATGTAATCTTGTCCATATGGAGCAACATCATGAAAAGATCGTTCATGCAAAGTTTCAACATCCAATGTTACAACATTTTCGCCCTGGCCAATATTTCTTTACCGCGTTCCTCACCCCAAACAATGATCATGGCAAAGAACCAAAACGCTGGCACCATCGGGTGCGTAATTGGATTGAACATCACGCGGACTGGTATCCAATGACGGTATCCAATTATCAAGAAAAGCCATCGATTGGATCCTTTCATATCAAAGTGCTTGGTGATGGCACTCAGCGATTGATGCAAGCTGCAAGGAACAATAATTCACTTCACTTACGAGTGGATGGGCCTTATGGGCCAAGACTACACTATATGGATTACGACACAGTGGCATTGTTTGCTGTTGGCATTGGCATTACACCTGCCCTAACGATTCTCAAGGATTGTGTACAGCAAATAACAAGGCGGTCTTTTGTACGCAAGGTGTACCTTGTTTGGTCTGTGACAGCTGCAGGTACAGTGCATGGTTGATCCAATAATGCAGATTCACGTATATATATAGAGAGAGAGGACTTATGCATTTATTTGTATGTAGACGAGGTACAACCATTTATCGATATTCTTAAGGAATGCGCAACGTATCCATCATTATCGGCTGTGGAAGTCAACATGACCATTCACCTGACACGCGAAAAGGACACGAGTCGATGCATGGAACTCACACAACATATCCCTGGGAGCAACATTATCCAAGGATATCGCCCTAATATCGAGCAATGCTTAAATAATATAGAGAAGAATGAGGACGAGGAGGAGGGTGGTAAACGCGTATGGGTACATGCGTGTGGATCAATATCATTTATGAACACGGTGATCAATGAGGCAGTACGCCATGGCTTTGACTTTCATCATGAGACATTCGAATTCTAGACAACCACCAGATACAGTATTCTTTATATACAAAGTGTGAATAAAGGTGGATTACTGCATGATAATGGTACTGAGTTGCGTGACGTTATCTTGTCTTCTGGCAAATGTGGCATCCACATACACACATGCATCACACACTTTTCACTCCCTTCCCTGTATCTACAACAGCCGCCTTTCTTCCTTCTCTTGTAATCCCAGAGGTCGCCGCTCCCCATTTCCTCCACATGTTCAAACCACCAAAGTCCAAATCAATATCCAGTCAGGTATGTCCTTTATTCTCGACTTGAACAATGTCACTTAAAGACGTACACGTGCGCTTTTTACTTTTGACAGGGATCGTCGCTATCCAAATCAGATTGCAGTCCACAGCGATTTCCTCCAGTCCAGTCATTACGAAAGTCGGGACAATCAAAAGGAACACCCATTGGCGTACCCTTTGTAAGTTAGGTCGAGTGTTGTCATGGATGGAAAAAGTATTGATCGGTCATTGCATAGAACGATCCTACTTCTGGACGAGTCATTGAAAGATACCAAGAAGTTCGAGACTATTTTCCTACTAATCTTCGTGGAGGTGAGCAGGGAGATGGTAATGGTTGATATACAGTGCATAAAGGGTTATCATTAACTAACATCGTATAGTGAGACCCAAAAGGTATGGTTCGCACGGTGCCATTCTTGAATCAACTTCCGGATCTTATCCATCCTCAACTTCCGGTAGCAATGGTGGAAGGACGAATCACTCGCTTCTCCCTCATCATCATCGTCAACAACATGACAACCGCCCTATCAAAAAGGTGCATCAACTAAAATCGAAGGATTCCAGTCTTCAATCCAGTCGATCTTATCGAGATGATACCCATCGAGAATTACCTTCAGCATCGCCATCATCATCATCATCATCACGTCGATACAAGAAGAACCACCAACAACGATCACGTCCTCGGCTACACAATGAAGACATCATCCTAAGCTCTGAATCCGATAGCGAAGGCAGTGATGTGGATCTTTTCAGGCCCCAGAACAACAACAACAAACAGACTTCGAGCAAACGACCTACTCTTTTCCCATCCTCATCCACCAGCACATCACGTAGCAGTAACAAGGCACGCAAATCGACATTGAATGAAAAGGATCTCATGGTGATTGACGATGACAGCAGTGATCATGGACATCCAGTATCAACTTCTTCGCCTTTTAGCCTCAAAACACCACCAAGAACAGAGCAATCAGCACCCTCTTCTTCCACCCACAAAGGCAAACAACGATCTCCTTCTCCAGCTACATTATTTGAAAAAGAAGCAACTTCATCCAAGCCAAGACGCGGACACAACGGCCATGGAATTATATTACGTGATGATGACGACGATGATTTCCAAGCACACAAGAAGCAAAAAAGGGAATCACGGTCGCCTGAACTATTTCAAAGCGAATCATCACGAAGACGCAGCGAGTCGATTGATCGTATTGGGAAAGCTGTGTTCATGTCAGTGGATGAAGAGATGGATCATTTGTTGAACAATGGGCCTACACGCGATCTAAGAGACAGCCCTCGATTTTCATCCGGCAAATTCAATGCTTTCAAATCACCCTCATCGTCGCTATTTTCAAAGGCACCACCACCACTACGAGAGCATTCAAGCAAGGTCACATTGATTGATAGCGATGAAGAAGAACCAGCATTGCGACGACGTGGTATTTCTGTACCCAAGTTGGATGATGAGGATTCTGGAAAGGAGGAAGAGATCCATTGGCTACAAGAGGATGAAAAGAAAGAAGACCAAGAGCAGAGAGGCAGCAGCAGCAACAACAACAACAAGCAGAAACGAAAGAGCAAGAGTGATGATGAGGATGATGGCGGTGAATACTCTGAAGATGCCAAGCCGACGACTGTCACCAAAAAGAAACGAAGCTTGTCCAAAGGCAAGCCCTATACCCAATCTGCCACACGATCATCACGACGCTTAGCAGCAAAACAAGAGCCATTATGTATCAGCATTGATGAAGATTCTGATGACCAAGCAATCCCTGTACAAACCATTTATGCTACCAGCGAAGAAGAACAACCGTAAGTAGAGAGAATTACGTCCTGCATAATGATCATTTACTAACATCTCTCTCTCTCTATCTTACAGCATGTGTCGATATCCACCCATCGGCTCAGGCGGTGTTATTTTATACCCTGCAGACTATAATCGACTCGAGAAGGATGATTTCCTCAATGATACTTTGATTGAATTTTATCTCCGGTGGTAAGTGTATTATGGTTTGAAACAGAGAGATGCGTGAGAGCTAATGTGTAACTTTCCTTCTCCAGGTTGCTGGATCAATCCGGAACAAGAGCCGATGAAATCTACATTTTCAGTTCCTTCTTTTACGAACGCTTATCAAATTCCAGAAGGTATACCAACACCAAGAAAGAAAAGTATAGGGATGGGATTGACACACACATATCATCTATAGAGGTGACCCATACGAGGATGTGAAACGCTGGACACGCAAGGTTGATGTCTTTAGCAAGAAGTTTCTACTTGTACCGGTGAATGAAAAGTAAGTGGAGGGGGAAAGTGAATTAGGAGATAAGCTTGACATTGATCGTCCTATGAATGATTAGCTTGCATTGGTACTTTATGATCATTGTGAATCCTCAAGCATGCACTGAACAAGATAGTGAGCACGTGTAAGTAGTCGCATGATAAAGGTATTGGGTAAAGGTTTGCTAATGGAACAACTTGATATTAGCACACGGATATTTATTTTGGATTCAATGGGAGGAAGGCATATGCGTGCTGCAAAGACATTGAATGCATGGCTCAAGTGCGAAGCAAAGCATCGACTCAACCTCAATGACAAAGACGTGAAGAGTGCCCGTATTGTCCATGCAGAGGTATGACATAAACAACAAGGATTGGTGAAACATAGGTTAGCGTGTGTTATTAATGGTTTACCCCACCTTTTCCTAGGTCCCACGACAAAAGAACGCTTACGATTGCGGGGTTTATTTACTTCACTCTGCAGAGGTGTGCATCAACAACACTGAGATCTTTGAGGATATCTTGCTGGTATGTGTATGATTGGAATGGGGATCATGGCGAGGGATTTCATATAGTAACATCGAGTGGCTTTATAGAAGGAAAAACCAGATGATGCAGTATGGCAGATAGACGAACTAGGTGGCAAAAGGACGGCTATTGCGGGCATTATCCGTGATGTTGCTGCAAACAGCGATAGTAGTCGGACAGTCGGCCGATAGACGTGGGTAACAAGCTTTCAGCATGTCAACCCGATTGGACACAGCTGACAAATGTCGGACTTCAAGCTCACATATAAAACTACCTGCCGTGTGCATTTTTTTTCTTTTTTCCACCCGTCTTTCTTTTTCATTTCGATTTTTTATCACTGATGTCGGCCTCTTCAAAGCTTTTCCAATTCGGCAAGCAACATATTGCCAGAGGTATCGGTCGCAGCACCGAGTTGGTTATTGAGCGTGCTCAAGGTGCTTATGTTTGGACTGTGGATGGCAAAAAGTATCTTGATCTCACCACTGGTATTGGTGTCACCTCCACTGGTAAGCGTGTTTTATCTTTTAAAATGGGTCCAGTGATAGCTGATGATGCATGTATGTATGTATAGGTCACTCTCACCCCAAGGTTGTTAAGGCTGTACAGGAACAAGCTGCCAACTTGTCCCATGGTCAAGTCAACATCTTCATGCACAAGCCTATGCTCGATTTGATCGAGAAGCTTCAACCCAAGATGCCCTCTCCCGAATTGGACACCTTTTTCTTCTGGAACTCTGGTGCCGAAGCTGTTGAGGCTGCTCTTAAGCTTGCTCGTCAGGCCACCAAGCGTCAAAACGTCATTGTCTTCCAAGGCTCTTACCACGGCCGTACCTTTGGTACCATGGCTCTTACCACCAGCAAGACTACCTACAGTGCTGGCTTTGGTCCTTTGATCCCTAGTGTCCACGTTGCTCCTTTCCCCTATTACCAACAATGGGCTGCTCACCGTGCCGATCCCCAAAAGTTTGATGCTGAATGGTGCTCTCAAGAATCCTTGAACCAACTTGAAATCCTTCTCAAGCAACGCTCCGCTCCTGAGGATACCGCTGCCATGTTGATTGAGACCGTTCAAGGTGAAGGTGGCTATGTTGCCCCTCCTAAGAGTAAGTACATTGGACAAAGAGAGACTAGGGGATGCACCCATGGAAACGTGATTGTATACAATACACGTAGTGGGTTTTCGTGTAACAATTGACATGGGGCATTGACATAAAATTTTACCCTTTATAGGCTTCCTCCAGGGTCTTCGCAAGATCTGTGACAAGTATGGCATCCTTTTGATTTGTGATGAAGTCCAATCTGGTTTCGGCCGTACCGGCAAGATGTTTGCTGTTGAGCACTACGATGTTGTTCCCGATATCATGGTGATGGCCAAGGGTATTGCTTCTGGTTACCCATTGTCGGCTATCGTTTCTCGTAAGGAGCTTATGGACCGTCAACCCCCTGGATCCATGGGTGGTACTTATGCTGGTAACGCTGTTGCTTGTGCTGCCGCTAAGGCCACTCTTGAGGTCTTTGAAGAAGAGAAGATCTTGGATAACTGCAATGCCCGTGCTGAACAATTCAACGCTGCTTTCCGCTCCAAGCTTCCCTCCATTCTCCCCAAGGGCGTCACCGCCGATATCCGTGGTTTGGGTTTGATGCTTGGTATTGAATTCCTCAATGCTCCCGCTGGCTATGCCAACAAGGTCGCCAACGAAGCCTTCAAGCTTGACACCCTTGTCTTGACCACCTCCATCTATGAGACTCTTCGTCTCATTCCTCCTCTCAACATCACCAAGGAAGAGACCGACCTCGCTATTGAGAAGGTTCTTGCCAGTATTGAAGCTGCCACCAAGTCCTTGTAAACAACATCCATTACTCTTTACCATCAACTTTTCATCCATCGCACACACACACACACACGCACACACACATGAATTTGTACATCTAGAAAATCGCTTCTATGTAGCTTCCTAACAAATCGACTTTGTATATTTTTTTCTTTCATCCCTTTGCTTTTCTCATATAAAGACTTGCAACCCAAATTTACCTTGTATGGTACGCTATTACTGATTCTTCTCAAATTCCCACACACATGGCCCCCTTGATCGAACTGATTGTTCCCCGCATTATTGTTCATGTAGCACAACATGGCTAAAGAACATGTGCACGTGTTACCGGGTTTGTATGTGTGAGATGTCTAATACGGTTGCACAAAAGGCAAAGTAGGGGATAAAATCATAATTTGATGCATGAGTGAACATGTCTCAGTACAAAAAAGTAATCAACAAACAAGCCATGGAAACAATGAAATCATAGTAGCTGGGCATCTAGATTTTCGATAAAGAGAAACCTGGTGGGCCATGATGGGATTGTGACGATGTAAGGCTCACATTTATTGGGCGAGTGTCAAAGTTAAACATAGCAAAATTGGCTCAGTATAGCATTGTTTACATCATTGAATTTAGACACCTCCTCATGAAATGCGCCAAAACGATGCGACTTGTAGAGCGTGGATGAGGAGAATAGATAACAGAGAAAAATCGAATAGAAGATGTCGGGTCATTTAGATTTGTACTTGCTCCGATATTACAAGCATCCCCTGCTGGTGCTGCTGCTGCCCATGCCTTATATGAATAAAAGTCTTGTAGATAACCAAAGATGACATTTACAACATGGTAGTAGGATACACTATTTGACAGTGAATGGTGGATATGGGTATAGGCGGATGACGCATGGCTATGAGTATAGGCGATGGGAGCGCGCGTTGAATATAATAAAGCTGTCACCCAACCCCATCTGATATACCGAAGATCGTGCTGGGAACTCTGATCCGTGCGACAGGGTGTGTGTGAGAACGTGGCTAGACACCTCCTTAATAATGACTTTTACGATCTGATACCTGCCCCGTTTATCGAAGGATATTGGTCATCATCGATGGAAAAGTTACATGTCTTTCATGAAATGCTTGCAGTATTGACGACGCGTGGGTGTTTGAAGAAAATTAGTTTCAGTCGTTGAAGGTTGCAACCACGAGTGGATGAAAAAGTTTCATACATTGACGACATAAACGTGGATACAGCGACAATGATAAACGGCGATCCCTGAAAACACAAAAGAAGGTTATAAACTTTTTTTCACACATCCCTTTTTTCTTCTCCTCTTTGGTATCTTTCTTTCTTCTTTTTCACTTTCTCCCTCTCATTATTCTACATAATAGAGACACACCCATTTCTTTGTTCCTTTGCTTCTCCTGTTTTCATTGTATTTACATAACGAAATGGATTTTTCTATTACTACTGCTACTACTACAACTACACATTCTACCTCGCCCATCGACATCTCTTCTCTTCATATCACCGACTCTGTTGTTGAGCCACTGCTATCACCAAAGTCGATAAGCAACGGTGGTAGTATTAAGAGCAGATCTTCCCGACGCTACTCGGCTTCCGCTGCTGATAACGATCTCGCGCCTTTTTCTTCTGTTCCTCCCATGTCTATTCCAGCACCTCCTTGCGCTGCAGTGGATATGAGTTCGATTGCACCCTTGACACCAGAGAACACCACCACCAACAACACTGCATCACTCGAAGACTACTTTTATCGTCCACGACGTGCCACCACTCCACATTCTGTCATTTCAAACGATCTCGCTTCTTGTTGCACCCCCATTGACTCCATTGCACAAGCTGCCGATGCTGCTGCTGAAGCAATGGCTACCATGAAGCACGTGGAAGGACATCGGTCGTACAAGATCAAAGCAGCAAAGTCATCCAAAAAGCTCGATCATTTCTTTGGTGAACAGGCACCTTTGGACATTTGTATCAAGGAAATCCAAAGAGAAGGGCTCAAAGCCATATTGCAATCCAAGACGCCTCTTTGTTACTTTTTGTATCATTTGCTTCAAGAGTACAGCAGCGAGAACTTGGTAAGTTTGTGTTGTTGTACAACATTAAGAAAAGGGGGAAGGGGAGATGATCGATGACCTCCGCTTCTTTTTGACTGACATCATTTTCTTAGTTCTTTTTCATTGAAGTCGAGCAATATGAATCTTTTCATTATACAACCTTTGTTCAGCAATTGGCAACCGCACAACATATCCATAGCACCTACTTGACACGCAACAGCCATTTCGAAGTCAACTTTGACGACAAAGTAAGACGCACAGTGTCACGTGCCTTGGAGCAAAGACAATTGGATGGCTGCTTTGATGCGGCCAAGCGTGCTGTTTATGGCCTACTTGAATCAAGCTACATGAGATTCCTTACCACTGATACATTTCAATCCATGGTGGAGAATTGTGGTATGTACAAGACCATTGATGGATATATATACATAACGTTGACATGTTTCCCACCCTAGGTGAATTGACGACGCATTACAGCAAAGATGCTCGCAATAGTGCTATTCATCAACTCATGTCATACATCGAACGCCAACATATCCTTATTTACACCAACACCGATCCATCTGCAGCTACCACAGCAGCACGTCGACGTCACGAGCTTATACGATCCATGGTACATGAGTTTTGTCGCACAATCCTAGGAGTCCACATTGAGTATCCAGCCAACAACAAGCCTAAATCAAGTATCAGCTCCAAGCCATTTGACTTTTTGACGCGACTGAAACAAGGCAACAACTAATAAACCCATGATACAAGAGAGAAGTGTGTGTGCGTGTTTATACCTTGCAGCAGCAACAACCATCATCAGCATTTTGAAACCTCCCATTCAGCACGTACACAAAGCCTCGGTTCGGCTCGGAGCATCATCACCGTATTTGTGTTTGAGATTACAGTTTTAGTTGGATGGGGCCCTATTACTACTACTACTACTACTATACTACGACTACGACTATTATCATTGCCATGACAACAACAACAACATCATCATCAGCATACACAACACACACACACACACACACACACACATGAGCATTATTTGTGTACGTATCGACACCACCACTGGCGCTTCATCTTCAAAGCTCAAGGTTGACACAATTTGTTTATGACAAAGCTTGCTCGAACCAATCAGCCTTCCAAAACCTTATACATCAGGTGACCTTCTCGAAAGCTTCTAAAGACTGGAACGAGAAGACGAGAGGGGGTTACATAGAAGAACATGTCAACAACAATCATAGAGTAATGTGCACCAATACAATCATAATAAATCATCTTCACCTGACATTGGATGATCCCACATCAAACAAGTTTTTGGTCATGCAAGTGGAATATTTCAAATCCAGGGACAGGCTTTACTCGCTCCACTATTTTAAAGTCTGTGCGTGACACCTTCCCTGCACGAAATCAGCAGCACATCACCACACACACACACATACATACATACATGATCACGTTATTGTTGACCCCACGTTCTTATGGCAGCTGTTCTCATTTGATCAATTCCCCCAGTTATTGAGCTCCGCCCTTACTGTGCTATGTCATTCGTGTTCTCGTTTTTGTGATTACACTGCAGCTAGTGAATGACTCCATGGTACATAATAGATATGAGGAGGACTACTATCATCATTGATGATGATGATGATGATCATCCCATCTTATCTCGAATCATCAGCCGACATGATCTATCTATGCATGATGCATGTATAACACGAACCACGCAATAGCATTGGTGCTTGATTGTTTATAATAATGAAGATGCTGATGAGCTCATTTAAGCCATCCGTGTATGTACTACCAGGGTCGCACAGTCCACCCAACGGCAAGCATCGGATGCATGAACCGATGATGACGATATATTGTGTGTGTGTGTGAAGCGATGTACAAATGTCACAATCATCGAAACGAGAGCCCCATCCACATCACAACGCGTCATCGGCATCCACCTTGATAGGTGCAATCTTTTTTTCTAAAAGGTGAATTGTATCACAGGCACAGCAATCGTACGGACCCCTTCTCATATGCTTGTAGTATACAGAGAGGGGGGGAGTGTGTGTCATGTGCTCGCTCGTGTCTTTGGGTGGTGGGCTTTCTTCAATGGAAACATCAACTATTCCCTTTTTTGACCATGCCGATGAAAGTCTCCTCCTCGCTCCAACTTTAGCATTGGCTATATTCTACTCTGATGTACGACATGCAGTGATGGGGGTCACGGCGGTACCTGATGATCACACGACCCTTACATCCATCCTCCGAACACTGAATAAATCACAAAAAGGAATGCACTTTGTATTATAATAGCATGGCGTGGGGAGAAGGAGAAAAAAAGGGTTTATCGTCACACATACATCCTTGCTGCCACACGCAGCAACTTCCAAAGCCGATTGTTATTCATTCAAGTAGCGTATCGTAGGACAAAAAACTATCCGAAGATGGCACATGATCGACGTGATATATATTATCTCGGATTCTTTCGCGTTACCATTGTAAGCAGGGACCGATAAAGAAAGTTTAAGAGACATGTGAATGTTTGTAGTAGCTGTTTATTGTTATTGGACATGCGAATCAATGGCTTTAGCTGGCCTGCAGCAACAAGAAAAAAGAATAAACAAAAGAAGAAGAATAAAAAAACTCAATGAAGTGTATGCAATGGAAGCGTTGTGGTGGCATTGTTGGATGTTGCTTTGGATGTTGTTGTTGTTGGTAAGGCAAAGTGCATCTCCGAAGTCCTTGATGGTACAACATAGGATCCAATGGCGGGAGTAGATACTGAAGGAGATGATGATAAGGATGAAGAAGAAGGAGATGATGATGAAGCCAATTTGTTGTTGGTGGTAGTGGTAATAGTAGTAGCAGCAGCAGCAGCAGCTTCTTGATGAGAGCGTGTATGTTTTCGTAATGACCTGGAATGGAAGTAAGATTTACCACAGCCAGGGACATTACAGTGGTAGGGGCGGATATTGGAATGCGTCTTGATGTGCGTACTCAGCGAATCTGGTCTTGAGAAACGTTTGCCACATCCTTGGATATGGCATTGGAAAGGTCGTTCGCCTGTGTGTGTACGCATATGGTTGTGCATCTTGTGTCGCTTAGTAAAAGGTTTACGACTACGAGGACAACCAGCCCAATAACAAAAATAAGCTGGTTTACCACTGCCCACATGATCATCACGAATATGGATGGTAAGTTCTTCAATAGTGGACGTGCGTACTTGGCAATGAAGCCATCGGCATCGGAACTTGCCACCAACACAGTTGGCAATAGCAGGTGTACCAGCAACGTGAACATGTGTTGTAGTAGTGGGTAGCATTGAGGGGTGAGGTGCTTGTTGTGGTAGAGGAGGCGCCATCATGCTATTGCTGCTTACAGCATAAGGTGCTTGTGTTGCCCCAAGGTTTGGGATGCTATTGTTCTTGTGATCGCGAAAAAGAAAAAAAGATACGACGTATACGTGAGATGATGTGCAAGTCTAGTGGACATGTCTGTCATATGTGCTTACAAGAGAAGTCTCGTGATAGTAACTATACGCTTGCATTGGCAGTGCCTCGGGTCTCGTTCCGGTTGCAGAGAGTGGCCATGTCATTTCAAGAGGAGGTGCCATAAAGAAATCGGCATTGCTCGGTGGAAGCGTTTGTGGTGGTAGTGGCGCTGCTGATACATTCAATGGATCCATGGATCCAGTTGTACATGGCATATAGCCAGTCATGGGTGGTTCGACGTCGTCGACAGTAAACTTGTTGCTTGGTACCATGTATTCAGATGTTGAGTAGACAAAGTCTTGAGGAAGGGATGTATGAATGAGATAACTATTCATTGCTATGGGTGGAGATGGAAGAGAGGAAAGATGTGTGTAATGATAGGAAGAAGATTTGGAAAAAGTGGTATTTATATGCATGGTACGTTATGCTGTCATCCTCCATCGGTTGCTTCCGTGCTGATCTTTTTTTTTCTTTAGTAGCCGTTTGCATCATTTGACGATGATGCTTCGCTGAGATAGGGTGCCTAATTTATTCCAAAGGCATGACAAGGTGCCATACGTAAAAAGTCGCATATCATTTGACATCAATAGTCTAGATCTTCGTCCTATGTTGAGTTTTTTTGTACGCTCTATCGGAATGGTTCAATGGCCTCCCGAGCCGATGATCTGAACCCATGTCTATGGGTTATTTGGTCACTCCTCCTTTCCTTCTATCAACGAAATCTCCCACAACGACTGGTAACAGAAATTTCACCAGTTGACCTGATGAATAGAGTTATATCTAAAATAAGCAATCGCTTGCATTTGCTCTTTTTCTTTTCTAGCACACCCCTCTTTTCCTTGCTGCTAACATTTCAATGGTTACCGAGAGATGCAACCTGCTGCTCACTTGATTACTGCTAGCTCTCTCTTTTCTCTTCCTTAACATCATGACTTGATAGTGACCTTCTTTATGCATGGCATTATGTCACCAGTTCAATTCAGTGAAATGGAGTACAGAGGGTCACGCGCATACTAGACGCACCAACCAATTCTACGCATACCAATCCTCGGTCAACTGGTGCACACATTTTGCATATACAAAACAAATGGCGTGTTCCGTTGCACTGACATACACGTTTATGGGGGATCAGCATACCAGTGTTTATTGCATCTTTTACAAAAGGCATCAGGCATACGTGTCTAATGTGATCGTTCGTGTGTGTGTAAATGATTTATTGTATTTATTACAAAGACTCTGTCTTTCCGAATCAGTCGATCTGTTTACAGAGCAGAAGCACCAGTGATAATGTCGACTATAGCAACGCGTAAGCAACATGATTTTTATATACACACACGCATCCCACTTACTCAATTCGTTGGTAATGACGGCTTGACGACCACGGTTGTAGGTCATGGTGAGCTTGGTGATCATGTCCCCGGCGTTGTTGGTAGCGTTCTCCATAGCAGCACGCTTAGCACACATTTCGGAGGCATAGCCTTCAACCATAGCCCAGTAGAGGGAGTTGGCAAAGGTGAATTCTTGAAGGTTGGCCAAAACATCATCCTCAATTTCATAGACGGCAAAGTTGGCTATATACATACATAGGGATAAAATGTCAATAACAGTCTCATGGATAATTCATCCCCGATCATCATCCTCCCTCCCCCTCCCACTACTTACGAGAGTTCTTGAAGACCTCCTCAGAGTAGACAGGGATGGTGTCAGCTTCGTAAGCAATCACGGACTTGAATTGGTTGTAGACAATCTTGGCGCTGTCAAACTCGATACCCTCACGCTTGATGACATCGGCAACAGAAGAAGCTTCAGCAAAGGTGGGGACATCCTTGCCAATTTGGTTGAAGGTAAGAGTGATACGCTCCTTGGCGACACGTTGAAGTTGAGCCTTGGGCTTGTCACCAAGAACAACGAGTTCGGCTTCAGGAAGCTCTTCCAAAACACGACGAGTGGCCTTGGAAACGCTGCTGTGAATACCACCGCACAAACCACGATCAGAAGAAGAGGCAACAACCAAAGTCTTGCTGTCATCAGCAGCCTTAGTCTCAGCACTCTCAAAGAGAGCTAAAAGAGAAAACAACAACATGAGCACGTCAACATCTCTCTTTCTCATATCCATCCCATCCTTCTTACCGTTGGAAGCAGCACCGAAAGCACGAGCGGCATCCATACCACGTTGGGCCTTGTTGACCTTGGTAGAGGCAATCATCTTCATGGACTTGGTGATCTTTTCAATGTTTTGAACAGACTTCAAACGAAGTTGAACTAGTAGATAAAGACAACACGTTAATCCCACATACAAGACGCGATAAAAGCATTCATGATAAACGATATTTACTTTCTTTAAGGGTAGCCATGTTGCGGGCCTGAACACCGTGGCTATGTAAACAAGATGCGAGTCAATGCGACGTGTCAATTAAGAGAGGATAAAGCAATGGCAAGTCGTGCAGGTTGATGTGCGAGTTGAGAACGACGATTACCTCAAAGGCTTAACGGCCGGACGAACGGCGATGCGTGATGCGGTGGACAACATTATCGAGGCAGTTGAAAAGCTGAAAGGGCACTCAAAATTTTAGGAGAGCACCCCCAGTTGTTTGCTTGGCTACCCTTGTCGCCGTGACTTGTTGTTCACTCACACACAATTAAGCGCTATTACTACCCCCGCGTCTGTGCTGCCTGTTGCCTGGCTACAAATCATTCATCCATCCCATCCATACATACATACATTTTCGGTCATTGCACTATTCACCGAAAATTACTTACACCAGTAGCATGATCAACAAGTAACATCCATATTGCCATTATCACGTGCTCTTGCTGTAGCCCACTGTACCAGGCAACAGTAAAGAACAACAAACATCACATACACCCTTTTACCTACCACACATCATGCATTTGGTAATGTCACTTGGCTCAACGGCGTACCAATTGGTGTGTCTCAGGAGGGTTGTAAAGTATTAGGTTGGTATGCATACAATAGTATAAACTACCCCATTTTTCCGATTGTTGAGCAGCCGTGGTTACACGTGAATCAATAAACTTTTAATGATGCAATGAATAGAGTAATGAAATGCAGTATAATAGATATAGATGAAGATATAGAAAAGACGCTTTAATGGTGGTCAGACTTGATAAGGAGTGTAGTAAAAAGGAAGGAAGCCTTCATGATGGAGATGATATTGATACACAGTAAAACCTTACTTGCAAGGAGGATAGTAGTGCATGTTTCATATCATCTAGTGGGAAGCAACAACGGCGGGCAACTTGACGTAGGAACGAAGGGTTTCAGCCTTGGCGGAGGTGTAATACAAGAGTTGGGAGTGCACTGTTTGCAGGACGGGCAATACTTGTTCCTGGACACCTTGGGCAACAACACGAGCCTTTTCAATGTTGGAGATATCCTTGCGGTTGTATTGCTCACGCACCAATTCGTATTGCTTGGAAGCAATGTCGACAAGAGAAAGAACACGGCCCTTGACCCAATCGGGAATGTTGGGCTGATCTTTGAGATAAGTGACCACCGAAGCCAACTGGTTGTTGATTTGAGCAGCAACTTCTTGGAACCAATGTTGAGCAACTTGTTGATGATCCTTATCCTTTAAGTTGTAAGCAGCAGTGGCATATTGGCGTAAAGTGGTTTGAAGCAAATCCAAGCTCTCGGCAAGCTTGGCACGGCGGTCGGTAACAATAGCACGCACGTGGCCAGATCGGGATTCAACCACATTGGTTAAAACGGGAAGCTTTTCCTCAATAAGATCAAGCGAGCGGCATCCAAGTGCATCAGCACGCTCAACATGACGTTGCAAGTAGTTGTTGTACGCCGTTTGGACCGATTGGTTTTGTGCAAGGTTGGTCAAAGTCGAATTGGCGAAACGGCCGAGACGAGTCTCGTTGGCATAAACAAAGCTGTCGTGAACATAAGGGAGAGAAGCCACACGCTCAACAAAGCGTTTTTGTTCTTCGGTAGTCTCTATCAATACGGAATACAATGATCAATATCCGATACATAATTATCATATGCTTTTGAATGTTGGGGGGAGAGGAAGAGAATGGTGCTCTCTTTTTTTTGTATGCAAGGAGGAATTGAGATATATATAGATGATAAGGATTATGGTGGTAAGATACTTACTGACAGTCATTTCAATGGAAAAAGAAAGGCAAGGGATAACTTGAGAAAGAAGAAAAAGAAAGGAGAACAAGACAAACAAAAAGGTAGCCCCAACTTTTTATATAAGATGTTTGTGGCTAGTGAAGCAACACAGTGGTCGTGACAAGTCGCCAAATCAGGATGCATGCAACGAGTCTGTCATTGATGGTTATCATTCTTTTCACTTTCACATGCAAAAGGATGGGGTCTCACCCTGTGGTCAGTGCATGCGCTTGCTGAGATTGTTTAAAAGCAAGATAATAGATCAACATCAGACAAAACCCGTGAACCATGCTGTGACATCCATGTGAACTCTATTGCCACCCAACGGCTATGATAACCACATCTCCTATCATCCGTACAACAACGATATTATGTGCATATGAAAATCGTCAATACAAGTTCATCTTTATGGTATATTACAAACATTTTCTACTTGAGCAGCACATGGCTTGGTGTGTGATGGTGTGTGGTGGTGGTATTCTAGTACGCGGAGTTGGATGCAATTCACCTGCTTTGGAACGCTTGGCTTTATCGAGTGATACTTGTTTCAGCACTACTACAAAACGTCATGGGCGACCACAAGCACAAGAAAAAGTCCAAGAAGGAACACAAGAAACACAAAAAGTCCAGAAACCACGATCACGATGACTCACCCATCGACTACAACGATCCCTCATTGTGGGTCGAAGCAGGCGCATCAGAACCAGCAGCAGCCACATCGCCACCAAAGCAACAACAACAACCACCTACGTCTACTGTTCAACGTGAAGCGTGGATGGTCAATGACGGCTTTGACTTTGGATCACTTGGAACGGCACGCGAGAAACCAGATGAGAAACCCAAGATCGACCCTGATCAGGTGAGTACAAGGAATGAATAACCATCTTTCATGCGACACGTGATTTATTATTTTATTTGCAGCCATACATCAGCGAACGAGAGCTGAATCCTCACTTGAGATCTGGGATGGCGGTTGATCAAATCCCTGCTGAGAAGCCAAAGATACAATTCGGTGATGCTGGATCCAAATGGCGTATGATGAAGTTGAAGCGTGTTATCGAGCAAGCTGAGGATGAAAAACGCTCCGTGCAAGATGTGGGATTGGAACGTTATGGGTCTATGGAGAAGCTGAATGAAGCATTGGCTGAACGAGAATACTTGGACAACAAGAGCAAACGATCTAGACGTGATCGTGGTGGTGGTGGTGATAGCGACCGAGGACGACGTTTTGTATACACGGACACTGAAAAGTCATCGGCATCATTCCGACGACCAGAGGATGTGGATGAATTTGGACGACAAGTGAAACGTAGAAAAACAACTCCACCACCACAACAACCACAACAACCTTCTCCTCAACCATCATCCGTTCCTTTATCATCTGTGGATACGACTTCATCATCTAAGCCGGTGATCATCACTCAACATGAGATGCCCCAAGCTTTTACTCATTCCGAACGGGTCATGACACGTGATGAGCTCAACAAATTGAATGCTGATATGTTGAAGGCGAAGCTTATGGGCAAAGACAATGCTGAGGAATTGGAACAAGAGTACGAGCGTCAAGTGAAATTATTCGAAGCAGCAGAAAATGGAAGTGCTGAGCAACAGGTATGTCTTCAATTTTGGATCGCAGCAAAAAGAGAAAATAACATGTGAGATTTAAATAGGATCAGAGTGGAAAAATGGTCCATATTTTACCCACCGTCGATAGCGAAGGACGCTTCTATGACTATGCTCTCAAGAATGATGGCACTATCAGCTCTGATCGCAAGGGCAAGAATAAGGAACGCTTTAAAGGAACGCATGATCCAAAGACGGGTGAACGACTTCGTTATGGTACCGTGGATGATAGTATGACGCTCATGGATATGGTGCGACAAGAAAAGGCAGGGAGCCGTGCAACAAGTAATATGGATTTGGAGTTTGCAAACAAAATCGTGACAGATGCTACTTTTGAAGTAAGGGAGGGAGAGGGTCTGTGTGTCGAGCTTATTATGTGTATCCTAACTTGACCATTTCTAGAATGACTTGGATTACATGGATGAAAAAGCAGAGGTGATGGGTGCAAGAAAAGGTCTCACAGAAGAGCAAAAAATGCGACACGCTGTACGAGGTATGTTTTTTTCTCTCTCTCCCCCAACCCTCTCCTTGATTCCAAAATCTCTCTCTCTAATCTGATATTGGGATAGATTACAAGCGGACACAAAGTGCTTTGGAAAAATGTCGTTTCTGTTATCAAGATGGCAGACCCCCTCAGTGCGCTGTGATCTCTCTTGGTTTGCAAACTTATCTTGCTCTTCCCAATGTTCAAGAACTCGTGCCTGGTCATTGCATGATTGTGCCTGTGCAACATGTCACTTCAACGCTCGAATTAGACGATGATGCTTGGGATGAAATAAGGGTAAGTTTTGTGATGTGTGTAACCCATGAGATTATATTGGTCTGACAGCGTGTGAACACCCCCATAGAACTTTCAAAAATGCCTTATACAGATGTTTAATGAACAAGGATGTGGTGTCATATTTATGGAAACCAGCATGAATAAGCATCGACACCGCCACACCATGATTGAGGTCATCCCTGTTCCCTATGGCACTTATGAGCAAGCCCCTGCCTATTTCAAGGAAGCTATGTTGGCTGTGGATGAAGAATGGTCTCAGCACAAAAAGATCATTGATACCACTGAGCGAGGTATTCGTAAATCACTCGTCAAGGATTTGCCTTACTTCCATGTGTGGTGTGGTCTTGAGTCAAGTTATGGACATGTGATCGAAGACGAAAAGGAATTCCCCTATTGGTTTGGCAAAGAAACGATCGCGGGTATGCTTGACATTGGCCCCGAGCGGTGGAGAAAACCAAAGTACTACCATTACAGCGAGAATCGACCTCGGCAACAAGCGTTTTTGAAGGATTGGGAGCAATGGGATTGGACAGCTTCTCTACCCACGTGAAAATCTATATAAAATATCAAACACGCGCCCTTTACTTTTTGTTGGACTGAGCGCAATGATGCTTTCCTTTTTCTCAATTTACCCAAGATCCTTTTGCATATTTACACATTGGTCTTTTTATTATGTACATAAACACTTTTTCTCTGTAATCTGATACTACATACACATATGAGTGTGGTGCATGGAGGATAAAGAGCGCCGAATGTATGGAATGGATAGAACATCTTTCCGCGGGTATGTTGTCGTTTGTGCTATGCGGTCCACTTTAAGCATCTGATCGCCGCAGCAATTAGCTATCATTTGTTTTTCCTTTTGGTCATGAAAATAAAGCTTACCTAGTTTCCTGATGTGTTCTCAAACATTTGACCGAACAATATTTCATCCCGCATCGAAGGCACTTGTAATTGCTTTGAAAACCACACACTGAACAGAAATGTCGGGCTGGGTAACGTGATGGAGCTGCAGCACATGTCAAATACGATGGCACATGAGGTGGTAACGTATCAAGCCGCTATAAACATCATGATTAGCACGCGTGCTTCTTGATTGATAACAACATCTACTCACAGCATCTTCAATAAGAACATTCAAGTTTGTCTTTACGGAATGGATATTCGCCCTGCTCGCTTTGTGCTTCTTTTTACGACTGCTGGGTACTATAGCGTAGGCGTCAAACAGGTCAGCATGAGCAAGGAATCCACATGTTGAGAAATACGCATACCATCGTCTTCTTGTTGTGCCAATGCCAAGCTAATGAGTCCTTCAACGTCATTGAGAGATTCATGATTGTCCCGTTCCAGAGAATCAAGCTGGCGTTTCAAATGGCGTTGTTGTGCTTCTGGATCGTGTTGTATAGCTGGCTTCGATTTACTCTTTCTGCTGGACATTGCCTTGATTGAGGTGGGGGGGGGGAGAGAGAGAAAAGAGGTGTGTTCCTTTGTGTCTCAAGTTTAGCTTAAACTCAGGTGATACCACCATGACGGATGCATTAAATAGTGCTCTTTATCTCCCATTGTGCTTTTGTATCAACAATCACCCTGGATACCTAATACATTCTTCTTGTTGCGAGATACGCCTACAACACGGATACCATCCTTCACGCTACACTTTAGTTTTTCACCCAAGGAGATACTTGTTCAATAATAGCATGGTTCACCATTAGCACACATACATAATAAATGACTTTTATTGCAATGATATGATGATGGATGAGGGGGAAATTGGTGGTACATGATATCGAACATTGAAATCTTTATGATGATCTGGTTTGGAGGCATGTCGAATGCTTGTTGGTGGGCATTGGCAAAGGTGGCGGTTATGAGAAAAGGATTGTTGATGCCATGTTTTCTATGTTTGCTCATGGTTGGATAGTATTGGGGAACGGCTGTGGCAGTTCGACGTATAATCCATTATGTAAAGGATCACTGTGTACAAGGTTTTTTCTTGTCCTTGAACTCTGATGCAGGTGGGTATGTGAACGGTGAACACCTCGAGACCATTCAATGCCCTACTGCCCAAGATCTGTACAACAATAGCACTTTACAGTATCATGGGTACTTTGTGAAGTTATGATGGTTGCCTCGGTAATGACTTCTCCTTGCACAACCTTAAGTCAAAAGGTTTCCTTTATAAGTTGTTTACATAACCCATTACCTTGTCGTGCCATTAGGAACCAATGAGCACTTCACAAGTGGTAAAGCAATGAAGTTAGCTACATAGATGAATGCATCATGAGTACTCTCATTATGGGAATCACATAAAGACTATCATCCTCGAGACTTACCAAAGGCCATTGATGATGGTATGCATATAAGTAGAAAGAAAGTGCGTATGATGGTGTTGGTGCAAACAGCCTTGTTTATATGTAAGTCGGCGTGGGAAGTGTCATCATGATTAATCGATCTGATAAAGTAGTCAATCACCTTGGAGTACTGGTTCGAAGTGAAGGAAAACCAACGGCTGATAAATCCACCTGCCACGTGAAAGGTGATGCATCGACACTTCCAGTCCCGCAGAATGGGCTGTGTTACACAAACATACCCCTTTGCATCTCTGTCAGCGTCTAGCTACTTGTCACGTATGAACAAAGACCACTTGTCATATACCATCACACACCCAGCATAGTGAAAACATGAAGGCACTTGTATCTCAAAACTTTACAATCAAACGTGGGGTCTTCAATGGAACGAAGTTGCTCGTCGTGGTCAACAGGATCGCGTGTGGTAGTTTCACGATCGAGGTGGGCAACCCAAGATTTGGTCAATGTCGCTAATAGCCAAACTCGATCGAGGGTCGACCTCTTGAAACAGTTTTTGGCTGGTAGCGACATTGGCCAAATCTTGGGTTGCCCACCTCGATCGTGAAACTACCACACACGATCCTGTTGACCCTGACGAGCAACTTTGTTCTATTAAAGACCCCACGTTTGATTGTAAAGTTTTGAGATATGATTGTATTTATGTTTTGCATATGCTTGGTGTGTGATGGTATATGACAAGTGGTCTTTGTTCAATGTCAAGTTACCCAACCCTGATAGAGCCAAATACGCATAGGGGGCGTGTTTGTGTAACGAAGCCATTTTGCATGAATGGAATGGCCAAAGTATGATACGATATACACCATCTATGATTGGCAGTTAACAGCCACTTCCTCACAATCGGCACTGTTGTTCATTTTGCAACATGTGAACAATGCTCCTGCTCCAGCCGAGCATTTCCATCGTTCAAGTTTCTTGATCCGAGCCGATTTGACTGAGCTACGCTGGAACAGCAAACATGAAAATTCTTGAAAGACAGACCCTGCGAATGTCTCCGTCTTTCAAACTTTTGGACGCTGCCACACAAAATCTTCAAATGAAGCGTGAGGTTTTTATTAGAGAAAGTTGATCAGCATGCTCGAGAGCACCCTGCTGACCAATTTCAAGTTGGAAGTGGGCAACTTCGGGGCGATGGGCCGTCCGCTCTTTATTGCCCATCATCCACCATTTGGGCTGCCCCCGCATTTTAAATCTTCACAATGAAGTCTGCGTCTTTTAAATGAATGAAGTCGATCAACATGTCGCAGCGAACCTTCTGACAACGTTTCACGTTCGAAAAGGGGAATCCCAAGATAATACATAGTGTTTCCATAAATCATGAATCTGGCGCTGACCTCCATTCCGGCTTACATAGTAAATCCCACATTGCACCCTCCCATTCAAAATTTACCAATGAAGTGTTGGTTCTTTTATAATACAAAGTTGATCAGGATATCCCAGAACATATTGCGTGAAAGTTTCACGATTGAGGTGGCCAATCCCATAATCAAGATTTAACTTACAGTGTGCTTGCATTTATACAAGAAGAGGTGCCCGATCTATTTAATTTCCACTTCTTCCACTCCACAACTTCTTGTCTCTTCCTCCCATTCACAACTGTTGCCCCATTCAAGTACACAACTACCACCTGCGAACGGTTGTCCTACTTCATTCCACCATGTGAATCCTACAATTGCCTTGATCCGATTGTCTTTGACTCAATAGCAAGTACATGGCGTGTGCGCCCCACTGCAACACACGAGTCTCTTGACACAACACACCCGCTCTTGCACATCCCTCTTCCACGATCAAGCGTAACAGCATTCATTCCAGCTGTTGCTATTAGCGAGTTCTTTACTCCATTGTCTCAAGCAGCGTTCACAACCTTGTCACTCTACTACAACACACGTTCTTGCACCTCGTCTACCACCATCAACGTAACAGCAGTTGTCATTAGCAAGGTCTTTACTCCATTGTCACAAGTACTTGGCAGCAACCTGCGTAGTGGCTTTTATTACATGAACGGCGAATAGCCATTGTATTGAAGAAACTCTATTTACGTGCAACCACTTGCTTTGGTGCATACGGATTCCAATGGATGGGGTGCCATGTCAGCTATCAAGCACGCTGCAATACAAGCAATCTTCACTGGTTGAGCTGCAATGAAAATGCCCAAGGAAGATATGGATCAACAGCAGGATGGGAAAGGATGCATACCAGCAGCAATCGCATGGCTCTTTTCAACCAACGTCTTGGATCTGATGGATGGATGCAATCAAGTGCAGTGATGAGATAGCCTTGGATGTTGCTTTGGTTACTTGTGGCGTTGTCAGCAAGAAGGATGGATCATGACACGTAGAAACGGCTGAGGATGGTGATGGATTGGATGGGATTGAAGAGAAGCGTCCTATAGTCATGGATGATATTGGAATACTCAAGTCAACGCACGCAGCAGCTATTTTACAATCATGCATGAAGGATGTTTATGACGGCAGCAACCAAGAACACAATGACACAATCATCCCTATTACCTCTATGTGATTCACCCATATCTCATTCAATTTACATTACTGTTCCTTTATCATCTTAGTTGATAAACATCCACATTACCATGTCTTGTTCTTCGACTTATGCACATTGAATGAAAATTGGATTCAACATGATGTTTAGGAGGGTACATATCGTGTTACTGTATCAGCTCATATGTGCGAGATGTGGATCACTTGGTTGTTTCTGGATTGAAAGGGAAATAGTAACTTGAGTTCGGAAAGTAAGTTTGGATCATTTACACCATCATATGTATGGAGTTGCTTTTGTTCTTTTGTGACAGTATTCATTCGTCTAAGCTTCCTAGCTTCGAAAGGCTGCGGTAGTTATCAACACTTGCATTGCAAAGACAATAAATTCAGAGCGAGGGTGCCCAAAATATGTAGTGCTTGTTGTATAAGATTGGTTCATTGTAAGCTTATTTCACTTTGTTCAAGAAAGAGCTGTGATAGGATTTGGCACGAGTACATGAACATACCATGCTTATCTCTTGCTGCTTTATATAAGAACGAGCCATTCCATGCGGGCTATGATAGGCGTACCTCACTATGGGAAACAATTCATCATGCACTCACCACCAATAGCATTGTCCCTGAAGCCCTGACTTTTTAGCTCAGTTACACAAAGAGGTCCTTCTGCATCATTGGCTCTACCACGTCTAGCTACTTGGCATTGATCAAAGACCACCTCTCATATAGCATCACGCTTAAAGCATATGTAAAACATAAAGGTGCCTGTATCTCTAAACTTTACAATCAAGCGTGGGGCTTTAATAGAACAAAGTTGCTCGGCGGGGTGAAAGCGATCTTGTGTCAAACTATGAAGTCCATCGTGGCCAATCCCAGATTTCGCAATGTCGCCACCAGCCAAACTGGATCCAGGGGTCGACCTCTTCGACGACGACGACCAAAAAAATATTTTTTGGGCTGTTTGCGACATTGAACGTGAAACTTACACACCAGGTGCTGTTGGCCAAGCCGAGCACATTGCACTATTAAAAACCCCACGTTTCATTGTAAAGTTTGGAGATACAGGCACCTTTATGTTTGTAAGCGTGATGCTATATGGGAAGTGGTCTTCGTTCAATGTCAAGTCGCTGGACCCTGGCAGAGCAAAAGATGCAGAGGGACCTCTTTGTGTAACTCAGCTACTTTGCATGACTGGAAGGATGGAAGGATGATACTGTATACTATTGACAATATCCCATACATTGCGAGCTAACAGCCATTTCCTCACAATCGGCAATGTTGCCCATTCTATGACAGTGGAACGGTGCTCCTGCTTCAGACAATCATTTCCATGATTGGATTATGTTGATCGAGTTGATTTGGCTGAGCTACGCTCCAGCCAAATCAACTCGGATCAACATATCCAATCATGGAAATGATTGTGCAAGGCACAAGGAGCTGCAATCTAGAATC